GTTCGCGATTGATAGGTTCTTGCACGAGGACATTTTTAATATTATTACCTATAAGGTTAGTAATAACCGAGTTCATAAAAATCGTTTGTGTACTCGTGCAAATATCATTTCTCGCGCATGAGTGTATTGTTTCCGTCATCCGGACGCTATTGTTTCCGTCATTCGATTCTTATTGTGACATAAGGTTGGAATGACGTCACACTGAAATGACGTAAAAGCTGAAGATTGTTGACATCATTCGACAAATTGTGGTTTTCAAGGACAGGGGTGGTGATCAGTGCATTTTTCTAATGAAACTCGTGTAAGGATTCATGTATTACCCTCGCAATAATACATGCTCGTAATACATGCTCGTAATAATGATCTCTATATCTCAAACATGTTGTAGTGTTTTAGTCCCGTGTGGTTTCCTCTACCACATACACTCACCCATGTCGTAGAGACGTGAAATGAGAATCGCATATTCAACCTCAATTACTGTGCTGATTGCGTGTCGTATTCCCCGAACAGTGTTTATTTACAAGCCACCGTGATATAGCTGGAATATTGTGGCGTTAATGTGATGGACACAAGCTCAAGGACACACACAACTGCTAACGCCAGACGCCCCATGCTGAGAGTTGTGCAAGCCAATTAGTAACTTTATTCACACAAATTGACGACATTATTGTTCTACCAGTTGCAGAGGAGAGAAAATGATCTTTTTTAGATCCTGTAATTTCTGCTTTGAAAGGTCGAAGTTGGCATCAACAGTTAAAAGTTATGATTTAATTTCTGACATATGTGTGACGGTAAAGAGATGAAAATTGATAATCTGCATCACAATAGTACAAAAATGTAGCAGCATTAATTCTTTCAATATGCGGGTGTGGCCAGAGAGTCCCCAGTTGCAGTTGTTGTTACTGGATGGGCACATGGTTAATTAATGCTAGGTAATTCATTTAGCTGTCCGAAAGTCTACGCTCAATAATTTAGAACTGTATTGATTACGACTGGGTGGCCCGGTCGTTTAAGGCGCCACAATTCGCTGTGTGTGACAGAAACATATGATAGTGGTTCGAATCCCAGAGTCACTATAATAATGTTTATTGCTTTGTCAGCACCACTTCCGTGTTTGTGTATATGGTAAACGCCGTAAACCTGCATCACTACAGGCTTTCGTCCCACATTAAGCTGACACACCGAGATATAACTGGAATACTGATCAAGCTCACTCACTCACCCACTCACTCACCCACTCACTCACTCACTCACTCACTCACTCCGACTCACCCACCCACCCACCCACCCACTCACTCATTCATTGAGATGGATGCAACTCTCAAACACGGAACTCTCTTAGACACTGATATCACAGAATATTTTCTTGAAATTGTATTGTATTTTAGAACGTGTACCTGTGTCGATTTAGGAAAACATAGGCAATAGATCGGTCTACTTGCTTTCAAGAAAGATATAATTGTCTTGAAAGTAGAAGCACATGTTTGTGCAATTGAGAGAACAAATTCTTGGAGTTTGAGTACCTGGACGTTTTTAACTAACAAGTAAACAATACGGCGTTTGGGCAGCAGGGGTGAATGACCATAGTTCAAGGCACTGCGTCAATACGTCCCCAAACGAAATGGGAACCATATTGACGCAATTGGAATCTTTCACTGGCGAAAACGGCACCGTATCTTCCAATTCCTACTAGTATGTTTATAGAGTTTGTAGTGATAACTATGACACCTACATGTACGAATGTCACATGTACGAATGTCACAGTCTAGTGCAATATTATGGTTTGGAGAACTCAGCAATGTGTACAAGAAACTGGTGAATGGTAAATCATGAAATGAATGTATGTATTTGTATTACCATCAAGACGGAACTGTGTGTGTAGACCGGTACACTCCTGTAGCAAAGATTGCTGCTCGACATTGGTTGAAATGGATTGTCTGCACTTTGTTTTAATACGCGAAGCTATATCATAACCGATTTTTGTTTTGTGCTTTATACTTGGAATATGTCAACAGATGAATGCAAAGGTTTATTTGAAAGATTATTGTTTGTTTGTAGCTTAACGCCGCCTCGGTATTAATCTCCTCGTACAGGCACATATTGCATGGAACCGAAATCTCCAATGCTGAAAGATTATTCAGTCCGTCCAACATAACTTTGGTTTACCGGCTATATCGAACGTTCATATAAAGTTACATGATCTGAAAAAATATATCGAGTAAATTAAGTTCGAATTTAATATATCGAGTTAATAAAGTTTGACTCATCCTCGGTTTTTCAGGGTATTAGATTTCCATTCAATAATGATAGATCCCCTTGACCACTCGATACAATACCTTCGTTTCAATAATCAGAATGTCTCCTGCAGTTCCATTAGACAGCTATTCAAGCGGCTTTCCACTGGAATGGGACTGAAAACGAAGCTGTGGTAGCTATGATATCCGTGTAACTTAAACTCAGATATTAAACGCCGTGATATTGTTGGAATATTGCCAAAAGCGGCGTAAAACCTCACTCACTCACTCACTCCCTCACTCACTCAGATGAGTGATACTAACGTTTCAAAGTATTGTGACGTGTAGAAAGAAATATTAGGACAGCACTCAAGGACAATTGACAAATGCTAGAATGGATCCAGGATATTTATCACAATAGATTGGATGCAGTGAGATCGAGAACGGACGAGACTTTACCCTTGCATAATGTCCTTATCACAATAATATTCGATAACTTGTGTGTGTGCCCACATTTCTGTGAAGTCGAGGACATCCATAATAGTCGAGTTACCTGAAGTTTCTTCGACAGAGGCCACTATTCGACCATCATGACGATGAGGATTCTTGCAGGACAACGTGTATAGTGCATGGTTAAAGCGCTCACTTGTCGCGCCGAAGACCCAGGTTCGATTCCCTAAATGGGTACAATGTGTGAAACCCATTTCTGGCGTCCCCAACCGTGACTTGCTGGAATATTGCTAAAAGCGGCGAAAAACTATATTGACTGACACACTCCAGGACCACAACGGGACAGTGGAGTTCGAATTAGCGAAGTTTAATTATATATTTGCCAAAAAGGTAGAGGAATCAAAAATGTTTCCGGTCGTCAGAAAAAGAACAGCTGACAGCCAGGGACAGAAGGGTTTCGGAATCAAAACCTAACGCCCCAAGATACCCGACTATGCAATTTCTCAGTGCACATGGCCAGGGGTACATGTATATGTTTTGCCACTTCACTCTCCCACAAGAGCTATTAGTATTGTTGAGTTTCACTATCGACAGTGACGTATAAGCTCTCTGCTCTTCCTTCATTGCAGTATTTGTGATCAGATTTGAAATGCTTCGACTGCAGCGTGATGAACCCTTAAAGGCTAGTGTTTGTTTGTTTGTTTGCTGTTTAATGCCGCACTGAGCAATATTCCAGCTGTATGACGGCGGTCTGTAAATAAACGAGTCTGGATCAGACAATCCAGTGTTTGACATCATGAGCAGCGATCCACGACAAACATAATCGCCTTTTACGGCAAGCATGGGTTGCTGAAGAACTATTCTACCCCGGATCTCTACGAGTCTATTGGCAGCTAATAGCAATATGTTCAACGTTTTTTGGTCAGTGACTCTGTTTTTTTGCAGACTTTAGAACAGGTTTCTGCTGACACAAAATGTTAATGATCGGCCTTGCACAGGGCGCCCTAGGTCAACAACAGAAATGGAGCTTAAACAGGCAATCGAAATCGCTGTTAACAGAGTACTGACCGACTATTCTACATGTTCGGCGACCACGTGTTGTACCACCGTTAACAAATAGACACATTCTAGCCAGACGCCAATGGTGTTTGGAGCATAGAATCTGGGGAAACACCGATGGTAATGTTTTCAGACTGTCTGTCTGGATAGGCATGGACATATCTGGAGGCGTTCAAACTAGCGCCATGCGAACGCCAACATAAGGCAACAAGACATATGGTTGGTCAGTATGATATGGAACAGGATGAATATGACTACCAGAATCGCATATCGTCCATGAAAGAACAGTACTATCAAAACAATATACTGGCGCCATTAGCAGTGCCGTTTGCACGTTTCGTGGTTCAGGACCATAACGTTCGTTTCTACCGTTCTTGTATCGAAACGGACTACCTCCGGCAGCAAAACATCACCACAATGTAATGTCCAGCCAGTGTTGTGACCTTTCCTCCACAAAGGACATCCGGCACATGATCGGGAGACGTGCATGGTGATTCGGACCATGCCACGCCCTGTAATCGAAGGTCCCACCAGTCCTGTGGACATGACCCATTATTGATCCAGTCATCTCAAACGTTCATCTTTTGACTACACATCTCTGTCCTCTTTCTTGGTTGTTTGCACCGTTACATGTTCTGTTGATTGTCATGTTACACCTAGTGCCTCCTTGTTTAATCCGTCATCACTGGATACCTCTTTTTTTCTGTAATCATCTGTTACTTCTATGATAATGTTTTGGAAAGTATATGCTGATGGAAAAAATGAAGGAATGAAGAATAAAAACAGATGCCAGATAAAACTATAAACATTTCAGTTGTGTTATTCCAAAAAGTAGACGAAAATTGTTCACAGGTCAGTCTTTTTCTTCCATTAGTATAAGCTGGAAGCCTCCATGTTCCTGGGATTTTATTCCTCTTCTATATAAGGCCATCTATGTTATTTTGTGTGTTTCTCACCTAAATGTTTAGCTTGAGAAGGAGCGAGCGTTTGGGAGACACTTTATACTTTCTGACGGGAAAAGGAGAATATTTTAAGGATGGAAATAACAAAGCCATAAGTAGAGTTCCTATCCTTTTTTAACCCTTTGAGCGGTGTTTTAAATAAGGTCGTGTGGAAGAGGAGAAACACAAAAATACATGAATGCTCACAGATCAGAGAATAGAAACCCGAAATGTATACCTGACAAACACCTGTGAACCTGAAGAGCGCACAGTACCCACTCCCCAAAAGGTCACACCAAACGGACACAATCCTTCGGGGGTGCAACTAATTTATTTCAACAGGACAGGGAGGAAAGATCACCATTTTCCCATGAAGAATTCAATTTCAATCCATATAAAAAGTAGTTCACGTCAATGGAAATGGCCATACCAAAAATTAAATGCCAAATGTATTCGTAATTTTAACAAAAATAATGTTTTGTTCAGTCAGTGTTCACTAATGGCGCGACGGTTCCCACCTCAGAGAGGATTTTGCATGTGCCCCTCCACTGCAGGTTGGGTCTGAAGCAGGTTAATCCCTCACAGCAGTAGGGGCCGGAGTAGCTGCAATTCTCCAGCAACGCACCACAGTCACCCTCCCAGGGCCAATCTATATCACGTCGGTTGTCTGGGCGTTCCACGTCGTCTTCAGCAGTGTCAACCCTAATAAACACAATGTATTAAATAGCCCTATTTTATTCTATGGAATATGAATGAAACTGCTCGAAGATAAATACTGTTTACTCTCCCTTCACAATCAATAACAAATTGATTTATAATTTAGAAAAATACAGAAACATGATGTCGTACTTACGCATCAATCAGTTGATGGATCTGCTCTTGCAGTTCATCCTGAGTTTCTCGTGAGGTTTTTTCATTCTTCAGCACACCAGGAAAGCTGGCCCCTTCTGCCTCTAAATGAAAGAAAAGAATGAAAAGTATCAACTGAAGAATGAACTTAGGGGCAAACCAATTGATATAAGGGGTGGGGTGGGGTGCTGGTAGTGGTGGTGGTGGAGGGGGTGTCAATGAAATTTGAGTTGGAAGTGAAACTTTGGCAGCACTTACAGCATGCTAACGGACACAGATATGAGTATATAAAGTGCGATTTATTGTTCATTCACACCCAGATTAACCCTACAAAGTACAAGTTGTTGGTATAATATATCAAGGAGCAACACATGGTTACGTCACAAGGAGTTTTGGCTGTAGACGAATGATAGTCACCAGATCATCATTATTATTCCTGCAATGCAGCATCATTATTCCTGCAGTGGGGCATCATTAGTCCTGCAGTCCTGCAGTGGAGCATCATTATTCCTGCAGTGGGGCATCATTAGTCCTGCAGTAGGGCATCATTAGTCTTGCAGTGGGGCATCATTAGTCCTGCAATGGGGCATCATTAGTCCTGCAGTGGGGCATCATTAGTCTTGAAGTGGGGCATCATTAGTCCTGCAGTGGGGCATCATTAGTCCTGCAGTGGGGCATCATTAGTCCTGCAGTGGGGCATCATTAGTTCTGCAGTCCCGCAGTGGAGCATCATTATTCCTGCAGTGGGGCATCATTAGGCCTGCAATGGGGCATCATTAGTCCTGCAGTGGGGCATCATTAGTCTTGAAGTGGGGCATCACTAGTCCTGCAGTGGGGCATCATTAGTCCTGCAGTGGGGCATCATTAGTCCTGCAGTGGGGCATCATTAGTCCTGCAGTGGGGCACCATTAGTCCTGCAATGGGGCATCATTAGTCCTGCAGTGGGGCATCATTAGTCCTGCAGTGGGGCATCATTAGTCCTGCAGTGGGGCATCATTAGTTCTGCAGTCCCGCAGTGGAGCATCATTAGTCCTGCAGTGGGGCATCACTAGTCCTGCAGTGGGGCACCATTAGTCCTGCAGTGGGACATCATTAGTCCTGTCGATGCAGCATCTGTAGACAAGTCAGTACATTGACCAACCTCTCTACCCTGCTGCACTACCGTTCTTGCAACAGAACAGGACAGACCTTGTCTCAACAAGATAACACAAGGCCTCATACAACATCTTGCCTTGACCAGCACAATCACCAGACATATCACCTCTAGACCTCTTGTGGGATTACCTTGGTGTCAAATTAGAGTACCACCAGGTCACCCTTAAAACAAGAATCAGTTAGGACAGGCGCTCTGGGAAGAGTGGTGTTAAATCTTATTCCTTGTGATCAGAGGTATCACATGAGTTGGTCTCATGAAGTGCATTGATTCCCATGACTGGCATACTGACAATACTGACTGACAGTTGTGACATTCTGAAGTATTAAAAGGAGTTGCATGTGCTGATTTCAGTCTTGATGGTTGATACAATAGGAAATGGCGCCAATTAGTGAGATTGATGATTGATTATGACGTTATTGCACAAGGAGAGAGAGATCCATGTTTGTTTTCACTTCAGATAGGGTTACAGATATCAGCTTCCATCACTTTCAGGTAAGTATTAAATGTTGTAAATTAGAAGTAATTGTAATTGTAATCATTGCAATAGTTTAGAAGTGCTAGATATTGTATAGTAATTAAATCTTTATTGTTTGTATATTTTTGTGTTCAATACGTAATTTTAGCTTGCGAACTTGCCAGCCATAACTTGTTTGGGGTCGCAGTTACTTAAATATTAACACGCTTCTGCTCTGGTTAGAGTTTTAAATAATTCAAACAAGGCTACCCAGATGCGTTACAATGGTTGATAAAATACTGAACAACTGATCCCATCCTCAAAAATATACAATATCAATACAAATACAAAGACACAATACCTTTTTTGTGTTCTCATTCATGGCATAACTTGTAATGATGTTGAAATATAATTATGTCTGTTGACAATACAAGTATATTTATGCTGTATTTTTATCCAAGGGTAAATGGTGCTAAATGGACATTTCACATTACACAACTAATCAATAACTAACAGTCATATCACAAATGGACAAATGGAGTCCAAATGGAGACAAATGTTACAGGCATACTGTCTATAATGCTCAGTCTTTTTATATGGGAAAATTTCTACATTTTGGTCCACTGCTGGATGTTACATATTCAGTTTGCTCGTCACGCCGAAGACCCGGGTTCGATTCCCGACATAGGTAAAATGTGTGAAGCCTATTTCTGGTGTCCCCGTCGTGATATTGCTGGAATATTGCTAAAAGCGGCGTAAAACCATACTCACTCACTCACTCACATATTCAGTTGGACCTTATGAGTTTTATCATTTCTGAGCAGGACAGTATCAAAGTGAGATAAGAAACACAAACGAAATACACACCAAGAAGGCGAATATGGCAAAAAGTAAAAAATAGCAGCATTTATAAAAATAATATTTTTGTAAAATTAACAAAAGACATTTAACTCTGATATGACACTTCTCTGACAACTCCAGACAAAGTCGCATCAGGTTAATTTTCTGATCAGACAATCAGCGTCAGGGCTCCTAAATTCTTGGTGAAAGTGAGCAAGGACCCTGAGCAGCGATATATGATTTCTGTATCTCGAAAAGAAAAAGATATCAAGCCCTGCTTGATATCGTTGTGCACATTACATACATTCTGTGGTTTCTGAGCATTTGGCATCTCCATCCAAAAGTGTGTTGGGTGGAGGGCACATGGCGTTCTGTGGCAGTTTTCTTTTGCACAGGTCCAAATTTCCGAATTCAGGCGGTGAAGGAAGTGTCCTCTGATCTCCACCAGAGGTCAAAATTCAATGTGGTTGTTTTTTATTTTGCCTAATGAGTATGATGGAAGGAAATATTGAAATAACAGCGATTTTCCCTCATTCAAAATAATGATCACAGGGACTTTGAGGCGGAGGATAAACCAAATTGACACATGGCATAAACATCCACTCCAACTCTTTATTTTATTGATTTGATTTATCGGAATAAAATGAGGAAATTTAAATATCAAACACCATAAAAAATTATATGAAAACGACCTTTGCGTTCATAAAACAATTGCAATTTACTCTGTGAATGCAGAAAATACTGAAAACGGTAGTCCCATCAGCGTGCCAAAGTAACTCGCCAAGAACAAAACTTTGCCAATGCACAGCCTAATCGTGATGGGCGTTGACTGAGTCAGTACAGTGCTACTCACGTGTCAAAAGACAGCTGATCGCAACCCATGCAAGTAGTGTGATACAGTTCATCCTGTTGTCTGTGGGGCTGACCTTCTTAGCTCAAGTTGGACAGTGAATGGGATTTATACAGCGAGTGTGGTATACATATTCAGAAGATAATGTCATGATTCATAAGTACAGGTGACCTTTCAAAGTATGCCTGAACAACATAAACATGTTAACATTTAGACGTGGTGCTGGTATGCAGTCGTTTCCTAATTAACGTTCAAAGCTTCCTTTGACCATAAAGGACACATGTGAATACATTTCGGAATTAAACATTTATTTCCATAGTTTCATGTCTCCAAATAAACTTAAAATGTATTAATAGAATACATTCCACAATAATAAATTGGCTAAGGCGATTCTGTAATTTTGGATTATCATATTATTATACTGAACAACAAAAGTTCCGGTGACATTGGATAAGATTTAGTGCAAAGTTATATTATTTACCAAATGTGAAACAAATTTCGGTTTGCAACAGATAAAAGACTCCTGTTAGTGTTCAAATAGTTTAATTTGCCATACTGACTTCAGAAAATGCGTGATTTCATAAAAGACATGAACATGTCTAAATGTCAATTTACAAGTCAATAGCGTGCGTGTCCACCTCTGGTTGCGATGCAAGCAACACGTCTTCGTCTCATGGAATGGACCAGGTGTCGCACAAAGTCCTGTGGGATATCTGTCCATATCTGCTGGAACTTGTTTCAAAGTTCCTGGAACACGTGGTTGATGTTGGAGGCGCCGATCCATCTCATCCCACATGTGCTCGATTGGTGAGATCAGGGCAGCAAGCCGGCCAGGGGATGACATTCACGTTGTTGAAGAGCGCTGTCCATTGAGATTCCCCTCTACCACTATCAAACGGGTTCTCTGTCTTGCTGTAATCCTACCCCATACCATAACGCTGCCGACCCTGAACCGACCGTCTTCCATGACACAATGATGTCACATGATGTACAATAATTCAAAGGGATGTGCAGTGATGTCACGTGATGTACAGTAATACAGTAGGGAGTGCATTGATGTCCCGTGATGGACAGTAACACAAAGGAGCCTGTGGTGATGTCACGTGATGTTCAGTAATACAAAGGGATGTGCAGAGATGTAACGTGATGTTTAGTAATACAAAGGGTATGCAGTGATGTCACGTGATGCATAGTAATAGAAACGGATCTGCAGTGATGTCACGTGATGTACAGTAATACAAAGGGTGTGCAGTGGTGTCACGTGATGTACAGTAATACAAAGGGTGTGCAGTGATGTCACGTGATGTACAGTAATACAAAGGGTGTGCAGTGGTGTCACGTGATGTACAGTATTACGCAGAGGTGACAGGTGATGTCACGTGATGTACATTAATACAAAGGGTGTGCAGTGGTGTCACGTGATGTACAGTATTAGAAAGAGGTGACAGGTGATGTCATGTAATGTACAGTAATATAAAGGGATGTGCATGGGATGGGATGTCACGTGGTGAACAGCAAATCAAAGTTTTTCTCTCGCATTTCCCGCATGTGCATCGTTGCTATTCAGTTTTCTCCTGTAACTGTAATGCTATAATGTTATAAATTCGAATCATGTTTGAACGTGTTTAAACTCTGAACATCTTTAGATTACGTAGTGTTTTGGTGGTATTTATGCTGCGAGATGACAGCTCATGTCATGCGTTTAGATGCGTTCAGAAAGACAACACCAAATGTCCATTCCGTTTAGGATTTAAACACAATCCTTCGCATGTCTTCTCTGTGTTTACATTCTAAACATATTTTTTACAGTGTCGTCCATGTTCCCCCGTATATATTCTGTTGTTATACACGTTCCCTGTATCTGTTTTGGCGGTATACACCCACACTCGTATATGAATTAGTGTTATTATACCGGATTTGTGTTATCTGTATTTTATACATGTTCCCTGTACCTGTATTGGATTCATTTTGGTAAGACAGTCCCTGAAGGTTACCTTATATCTTTGCTGATTGTTCGGCATCTTGTCATGTGTTCGTGTGTTCTTTAAACCAACAGTGGTAAATAAGCTAAACCTCTCATATATATATGGGCATATACACCACGAAGGGCGTCACAATATTGAATCTAACACATCTTGTGCTCTGACACTTGCAACATATGCATGTCTGAATCATGCAACAGCATGTTATTAAAGTAAAGTCCTTCAAAAAAATAAAAAATAAATAGGGGCGTTCGGGTAGCCTTGAGGTTCGATTCCCGGGTTCGATTCCCGACATGGGTACAATGTGTGAAGCCCATTTCTGGTGTCCCCCGCCGTGATATTGTTGGAATATTGCTAAAAGCGGCTTGGCCTATTATGTTCGTGTTATGATTAACTTTAAAAAGATGACAATTTTCAACTTGCAGGCCGACGTGGAATCAACTCTCAGAATCACGAGTTTTCGATTCCCTTGATGGCTGGCATTGTTTGGTCAAGGCTAGTTGCTCTCCGGGGGAAATACGCTCTGTGGTCATCTATAATGCTCACATCGTGTGTCATGAAGGGAATCCAACCTTTGTTCAGGGCGTGGCAACTACACCAACGGGTGGTTGAATGAAGTGAGTGAGTGAGGGCGTGGTTGTGTTTGACGCCCCTTTGAATACCATTTGATCTGTATCAGGAGTGTGTCAGCTTGACGTTAGAAGAAGGCCCGCAGGGGTGCACACTTAGGCTTTCGACCCCAATTCCAACAGAACGTAGACAGTGGTTATGGACCAAGCATCATAAGCAGGGCGAATCGGGGAGATGGAAAAACGACGAATGGTTTCTGACTCTTAAGGGACGCGCAGAAAATCGTATATCACGGTGACGTCCGTTGACCTTCTTGGTATAGTGAGTTTGATGATTTAGAAGTGCTTCATTTATATCACGGCGAGTATAATGTGAGAGGAAAGCCTGAAGTGATGCAGATCTTAGACGTTTATCAGTTTGGTGAAACCCACAAACAAAGGTTTTGTGCTGACAAAAATATGAACAGAATCTGGGCGAACAGGGATTCAAACATACGATGATGGGTTCCTGGCAGGCCTCTAACTCTAACGATAATTACGGCGCCTTAGACGACTCAACGGGTAAACATAACAGTCATATGCTGCCCAGACATGTCCCGAAATCCTTGTAAAATGCCGGGCAAAAGAAAGTATAAATACACATGTACACTTCAAAATTAGATTTGAACAAAAAAATACAAAAGTGATCAAACCGTTACCAGGCTGAAACAATGCACAGTTAAAGTCCAAAACACAGCTATGATACCCGTATTAAATAAATCACCATCAAATCACCCTTTCTTGTTGTTTATTTTTAGCCACCATCAAACGTGTAGGCATACTTTCTTTTACCCGGCAGTTTATATTGTACAATGTGTGTGCGATAACCAGCATATAAAATAATATTTGCAAAAGAATCAAGTATAAACACACTCCATTATGAAAGCCAAGTTTTTTTCAAGGTGGAGTAATACATTATTATTGTTTAATCTTTGATACACAACAATATACACAATTGTACTTATTTTGTGAATCTTTATTAAGTCGACGTCAGCGTTTACAGGCAGCGACCCCCAGTGTCGGAGAAGCGATGGGTCCAGTTCTTGTACTTGCACTTCATTGGATCACAGCAGTGGGTGCCCCAGAAAGAACACCACTCGTTGTACCCTCCACATCGGCCCCCGAAACCCAGCACCTGCCGATCACGCTTGGCGTACCTGACGTCATTGACGTCGCCGTCAATCGCTCGTCTGGCGGCGGAACTAACACTGAAACAAGGAATTATGAGTTAGTTGGTATGCAATCAGTTTAATTCAGTTAACCTTTTTCGAGGGTGCATTATTAGAGAACCCATTCCAACTGTCACTCTCCTGATCTGGTAAGCCACGCTCTGATTGGTCGGAAGCAGGTCGTTCTGACGGGAGATTGGATGTCCTTACAATTTGTTCAGCGGTAGCGAGAACTAGGATCTGGTTTTAGATAGATTGGTTGGGGTGGTTTTACGTAGTTTGTAGCATTTTGACAACCACTTGATGTTTTATGCCGGTTTGAACAATATGTCAGTATTTTATAGAGTGATTGATATTATGAGCAACGTCTCACACAGTCGAGTTACGATAATACGCAATCAACAATGTCACAATTCATGTCTTCGCCTCGTACGTCAATCATTGGTACGGAAATGTACCACTTTGGTTAAACCCACAAGCACGGGGACGGTGCTGACAAAACCAATATTCATAATCAGGGTGATTGTCGAATCGGAGCCACGATAGAGAATCCTGGCATGATTAAGGGAGGCAACCTTGTGCAATTAATTGCACTGCCTTTAGTGAAAGCAAAATACGATTGAAGAAATCCTGGTTAGAATAGGTCTTCAGGAACCCATGCTTGTCGTCAGAGGCGACTAACGGGATCGGGTGGTCAGGGTCGCTAATTTGGTTAGTTAATGCATGTCATTCAAGAAGTATCACTATCATATTGTTCTCTTACTGCTGAAAATTTGTTTTCAACCTCAGAGGAACTGATCTAAGCTTCGAAAAAATTCTGTAATGAACTTATGATTAATCTATTAGAAATGTGACTAAATTAATCGCGCTTTCCAAAGGAAGAAACACGGTGGTTGAATAAAAAAAAACATATCTGTTTCTTACCTATGAATCATGTCTCGAACGTGTCCATTAATCTCCTCTGACTTGTCGTCTTCTGCTAATTAAAAGAAACACAGGAGCGGATTATGAAAATACGACAAAGATAAGCATGAACAATGTTACATAAGGGTAGATGGAGTAGCCTAGTGGTTAAATTTTCCCTCGGTAAGCCAGGGTTTGAATCCCACTCTTGACTTCGCCTGTGCTGTGGCTATCTCCTCCCTGAGGAGAGTGGAAACCAAACTGCCTGTTAGGCATTATAGAAGATTGTGCGGGAATTTCACATCTTCCTCTCATTCCTCCGGGAAACAGTGAGTGAGTGAGTGAGTGAGTTGGGTATAACGCCGCTTTTAACAGTATTCCAGTTACACCACGGCGTGTCAGCTCAATGTGGGAGGAAAGCCCGAAGTGATGCAGGGCTCAGACGTGTACCACTTCGGTGAAACCCACGAGCACGGGTATGGTGCTGACAAACATAGAAACATAATCGGGGCGAACAGGGATTCGAACCCACAATCATAGGTTTCTGGCGTGCACAAGGGACGCAACTCTGCACAGCGAATCGCGGCGCCTTAGACGACTCGGCCACCCGTGCCCCCCATCGGGAAACAGAGTCAAATTACAATGTAAGGAGCTATCACAGGTTATTTTATCTGTATTTCACCGTTCACCCTCCCACCGATAATGCCGTGGCGAAATCGATGTGCTGTTCAAAATGGCGTTAAACCCAACACACCTACTCGTGGCAAGACGGGAGAAAGAACAAACATTACATTCAATCAATTTTTCACCACAGTAGGAATTCCAGGCTAGAATTTGTCCCTAACAACCTATGCTTGTCGCCAAAATAGATCGGATGGTCAGGTTTGGTGATGGGTTTGATCGTCGCTCGTGATATCAATCACTGGTTTGTCTGGTTCAGACTCGGTTATTTACAAGCCGTCATATGGCTGTGAGTGGCGTTAAACAACAAACTAATCACTTAACCAAAGTAGAACAGAGAAGAAAGAAATTGGGCAAATGCACACATTTATGCACTGTAGAAAATGTCTTCAGATCCTACACACAAAACTAAGCACGTTCGTCGTCCCAAAAGTTTGTTATGTTTGGGAGTGTGTTAAACGTGTACAGCTACAGTAAACTACGGTTATAACGAACTTTAAGGGACCACTAAATTAAGTTCGTAATAACCGTAGTTCGTTATAAGCACATACACAGAATATATACAGCAAATGGGCGGGGCCAAAAATAGTTCGTTATATCCATCAGTTCGTTATAAGCGTGTTCGTTATAAACGTAGTATACTGTAAATGTGTTTTGGGTCTAAATGTGGGAAAGCCCCCTTTGATACCTTGTGTTATATGGCAGTGTATTATATTGTTTAACAATGGTTGTAGCTGTGTTGCATTGTTTCTTTTGGGATTCGTTAGACGCTGATTGCATTGAGTTTGGACAGTGATCAGTTGTCAGGAAGTTACTGTATGTAGATGCTCGTGTGGTGTGTAAACTTCCGGTCCGGTATACCTCGGACGATTATAGTATGTTATTGGAACTTCTTCAATGTTCTAGTACCGTTAGACTGGTGAGGGCACTGTACATAAATTTCCAGTAGCTTGTTAGGCTGTATATATAGTGGGATAAGAACGTATTTACGTATCTCTCGCGCATTTTCATTACACTTGGGACCAGCTTTCATGTGAGGATCGCTCATCATCCCTGACTCCCTGCCCAGCCTTTCTAGAAAGCTTTACTACTGTCGCCGCTTGGTGAAATATATATTATTATCACTGACTTCTGCTATCAACAAATGTAATTTTGTATTTGATTCTGGACACTGCAATCACATTATGTACTGTCAGAGAATATTTTACTACCACTCTATTGTGCGCTGCCATGGTAATTACTGATACTTGATACTTATACATTCATTGAAGGAAATTAGAAAGGTCGATTTCCATAGTTATTTTGCGTTTGGGGGGTAACTAAACAAGTTAAGGACAGTTAAGGTAATCAGATATGCTTTTATTGTTAGCTTCCGTTTCCTGCCTGCGAGAAATGCTATGTGTCACACAGCAACAACACATTCATGGACGCAGCACTTTTAAACCTCGGCGAGATACGAACCTGCCAACCTCTTGGTTGTGCTACGGAGACTGATTCGTCATAGACGTCAACTTTCCTAGTCACCTTTAAGCTAGCTTGGTTTATTTGAACATCTTGTGTTGACATTGTACCAAGATTGTTGAAAATCCTGATGGCATTTGTTTTATGCCTGTGAATCTGATTTGCACATCTACTTTTCAATTTTATATTCTTGTACATCTTGTCCATGTCCGACTTCTTGCCTAATGATATGCAATCCATTTAAACTCGTTTAAACGTGTTTAAAATCTGAAATTGTTTAAACGTGTTTAGATAGAACACACCAAGTGTGTATTCCGATTAGGATTTTAGAAACATTCCTAAACATGTTTAGATCTACACAATTACATTCTTAACACATTGTTTTACAGTGTACAGGAAGTGAAATGTTAACGAGAGAGCCACGTCCACATTAGCAATGCTCCTATCACTAACAAGTATAACAAAAATAAAATTGATGGATGTTTAACAATCAATTATATTCCCTGTCAAAATGTTGATGAGGATAACAATTTATCTTGGGTGCAAAATTGGGGATGGTGACACAGGATTGGGCGTTATGATATGCCTGTTGGCGGGAACCTTTCGCGACATTTAATGATGTATGCTAGACAGCTGTCGCTTTTGCGTCATGAGGTACGTAGATGAGACAATATGAAAGCCAAAGCTTACACTGGTTAAACTTTAATCAACCCCCTTTATTCATGAATTATGTATTTAATTACTAATTGACTTTCACTTTCATTGGAGTATGAACCTTCACAGAGTGAGGGCCAAACTGTATGAACGTCGGAGCTTACTGTCAAGTTATTTGAGAATAGAGAACACAAAAACACGAGCAACAATCAAAGCCACATAAATAAGTTCATAGTACCGAATATAGCAGCCTGTCTGCAAGGGTGAAATAATCTCTGCGATTTCGTAATATACATGCAGGTGCAAGGTCCGAGTTGCGCTGGAAGACTATATTATTGGATGGCATTATTTCTACTTTTCTAATGTTCTGATCACTAAGTATTACGACGCAGTACACGTTCGTTTACGACACGCTTGCTCTTTGGTTCTCCGCCGATATCAGACACACAATGACGAAAATTTAAACTCCATATTTAGAGTGAGTGAGTGAGTGAGTGAGTGAGTATGGTTTTACGATGCTTTTAGCAATATTCCAGCAATATCACAGCGGGGGCCCACACATGGGTTTCACACATTGTACCCATGTCGGGAATCGAACCCGGGTCTTCAGCGTGACGGGCGAACGCTTTAACCATGCACTATACATGTTGTCCTGCAAGAATCCTTATCGTCATGATGGTCGAATAGTGGCCTTTGTCGAAGAAACTTCAGGTAACTCGACTATTATGGATAGCCTTGACTTCAGAGAAGTGTGGGCACACACAAGTTATCAAGTTATTGTGATAAGGACACTATGCAAGTTTACAGTCACGTCCGTTCTCGATTTCACTGCATCCAATCTATTGTGCTAAACATCCTGAACCCATTCTAGGATTTGTCAATTGTCTTTGGCGAGACGAGCGAACGCTTTAACAACCAGGCTACCCGACGGCTCCCCATATTTAGAAGTACTTGCAGCTTCTAGCGACTAGAATGTTTGCATTATTAGATTAATCCAGTTCAAATTTAAATGATATGTTTCCATATTTTTATCAATTATACAGCTTTCTAGTTCTTGGTTTCGCGTACCTCTCACGGCAACATGGTTTAAAAAGAAGGTATCAAACGGTATCGAACAACAATCCAATTTACATTCATTCTAAGTTTTCAACATGACACCCAAACAGAGTAAATTCCATGACGGTTTCGCGAAGGTATGGAATAAAGAAGTCACTCACCCAATGCATGGCCGAGGCACGCCAGGGCAACGAGACACGCGAACACGTGCACAAGTTGGCTCATTCTTGACTGTAAAATCGGAACACCCCAGAAACTGAATCTTCTCAGTGAATATTCCCGTATGTGGCTTAAATCTCACAACACTTGGACAATTTATAGAAGACGTAGGAGTAATAGGTGCAGGCCACGACCTTTCCATTTTACTGAAAATTGAAAATCGAGGTCAGGATAATTTACCGCGTCAACAAAATGTCGGTCTCGTCACTTTCAGCTAGAGGTCATATCTATAATTGAAGTCACTTTTGAAGATTTTATCATCAAGGGAAACAAATGCCTTTAATGATAGTCACAACCGGTCTGTCATCAATATCATAGTACTTAGACTGCCAATAAGTACAGTGCGAGCCCTACTGTGTAGTGTGTTCACCACAGATATTGTGTGCACCACAGTGTAGTGTGTTCACCACAGATGTAGCGTGCACCACAATGTAGTGTGTTCACCACAGATAGTGCGTGCACCACAATGTAGTGTGTTCACCACAGATAGTGCTTGCACCACAGTGTAGTGTGTTCACCACAGATAGTCTGTGCACAACAGTGTAGTGTGTTCACCATGGATATTGCGTGCACCACAGTGTAGTGTGTTCACCACAGATAGTGCGTGCACAACAGTGTAGTGTGTTCACCATGGATATTGCGTGCACCACAGTGTAGGGTGTTCACCACAGATATGGCGTGCACTACAATGTAGTGTGTTCACCACAGATAGTGCGTGCACCACAGTGTAGTGTGTTCACCACAGATAGTGCGTGCACCACAGTGTAGTGTGTTCACCACAGATAGTGCGTGCACCACAGTGTAGTGTGTTCACCACAGATAGTGCGTGCGCTACAGTGTATTGTGTTCACCACAGATATGGCGTGCACCACAATGTAGTGTGTTCACCACAGATAGTGCGTGCACCACAGTGTAGTGTGTTCACCACAGATAATGCGTGCACCACAATGTAGTGTGTTCACCACAGATGTAGCGTTCACCACAGTGTAGTGTGTTCACCACAGATATAGCGTGCACCACAGAGTAGTGTGTTCACCACACATATTACGTGCACCTCAGTGTAGTGTGTTCACCACAGATATGGCGTGCACTACAATGTAGTGTGTTCACCACAGATAGTGCGTGCACCACAGTGTAGTGTGTTCACCACAGATAGTGCGTGCACCACAGTGTAGTGTGTTCACCACAGATAGTGCGTGCACCACAGTGTAGTGTGTTCACCACAGATAGTGCGTGCGCTACAGTGTATTGTGTTCACCACAGATATGGCGTGCACCACAATGTAGTGTGTTCACCACAGATAGTGCGTGCACCACAGTGTAGTGTGTTCACCACAGATAATGCGTGCACCACAATGTAGTGTGTTCACCACAGATGTAGCGTTCACCACAGTGTAGTGTGTTCACCACAGATAAAGCGTGCACCACAGAGTAGTGTGTTCACCACACATATTACGTGCACCTCAGTGTAGTGTGTTCACCACAGATATAGCGTGCACCACAGTGTAGTGTGTTCACCACAGATATAGCGTGCACCACAGTGTAGTGTGTTCAACACAGATATAGCGTGCAGAACAGTGTAGTGTGTTCACCACAAAAATTGCGTGCACCACAGTGTAGAGCGTTCACCACAGATGTAGCGTGCACCACAGTGTAGTGCGTTCACCACAAATATTGCGTGCACCACAGTGTAGTGTGTTCACCACAGATAGTGCGTGCACCACAGTGTATTGTGTTCACCACAGATAGTGCGTGCACCACAGCGTAGTTCACTGCGTATTTTCGGTGATGTAGTTGTGCTGATTATTTATAGTATAGAAAGTATCAAACTTGGCGCCATCATGCCAGTCATCAATGATTTCTAGAATTGTTAAACGGTTATAGGTGGTGGTCCAAACGAAGGTAATGAGTGAAAACCACCAACCGAAACAGTAATCGTTCATCTGTGTGACGTATCACCGATTCCAGTGGTCACTCGCTGTGGCGGGTCGAGGATTTCTCTAAAGGGGTCGATACCTTTTGGTTCTACAAGTTTAAGGTGAGTGGTGGGGTTTTGGGGTGGGGGTGTGTGACGTCTAAATGGTTTTAACAACTCAATTTTAACAAACGAGTCAGCTTTCATCTCACTGGTCTAGTAGGTCTATGACAGATCATATGGTCTTCAAATACGGGTACGGTGGTAGCAATGTGGAAATAAGTGTAAATAAAGAGACAAAACCCTTTCCACAATCATATGGAATCTGTTAAAACACACCCCATTGAACTATTCCGACTTATATTATGAGCATGTATCAATAAATCACAATCAGATAGTGATACAAGCAGGTGTTCGCGAACAGGTGAGCGTTTCCTGGCCCACCGATGGCAGCCGCCTCAAACACATGTACACCAAGTCTGTGCCTGGTTTGTGCAGCTCAGTCGCTGAAGCTGAAGTTTGGCCATCAATGATAGGTGGATGATAACACAATGTCCGCTGAACAATGTAAGATCTGAAATATACACATTCCCTGTATGCGTGACATGACTGAGAGTCATGTGCTTGTACACTGAACGGTGTCGTAAGTAAAGGGAGATAACTCCAAACAGAAGCTGTGCGAATTCGTCCAAGGAATAAGCTTCGACCGTTGTAAGTCCCACATCTGTGTTGCTGTATACATGTTCCCCCATATGTTCTGTTATCCATGTTCCCTGTAACTGCATTGGCTGTGTACATCTTTTCCCGTTTCTGGGTCCAGATTAATCTTAAACAACGTTCAAAGATAATATATCTTAAGTTTAAGATAAGACATATTTTCGAAACTATCTGAAAAATGTCGCAGATCGTACAAAGTAACGATACTTATTTTGTTTCACACTTTTTTCAGCATAAACATATAGAAATTATATTTTAGACTATTGACTCAAAAGTTGCGACGGGAAATGTTTGATGCGTTCTTCGTATATTCGAAGGTTCGATTGAATCACAGTTAAAACAAAATGAAATGTCAATGTTTCAACGTAAAGCAGATTATTTGTTTGAAAAATATTTTTAGAAAATCATGCCTCCATTTTGGATGAAGATCAAATAAGACTACGACAGTTTTTTTTGTTTGGTTTGTTGTTTAACGCCGGCGGTCTGTAAATAATCGAGTCTGGACAAGGCAGTCCAGTGATTAATATCATGAGTATCGATTCACGCAATTACATTTTCTTTCAAACATCAGCATTATATCCATAACTTTTTACAGATCCGTTCACATCTGTCTGGAGGTGCCCAGACGACATCACCTGAACCATGACACTGAGATCCGTCACTGGCGACATCGTCTGCGACAGCCTGGCGATCTGACCAAGCCTTCAAAGACAGTGCCGCACACGTCCCCCTCAGGACAGCCCCTCGATTCAGAACTATGTATGTTCTCAGGAAGGTGTACAGACAATAAATCGTATGCGAATGCCATTTTGTCAGGTCGCAAACTGGGATGCCTGGACAAGCTACCACGTGTGTTTATTTTGGCAGGGGACCGTGAGAAGTCTCAAGATGTCACCTGGAGGACAAATGCCAAACTGGTTGACATGATCACCGCAGAAATGTAACAGATTGAAGACCTTGGATCGAAGGATGTGGCAGCACTCTGCGTCAGGACTTTCGCCTCCACGGCAGGACTGGCACTACATCTGGAGGTGATGGATTGAGACATCAGGTGATGTATGCTTTTACATTACTACTAATATTGATGTGCGTTTCTTTACGTATGAAATGTTTACATTATGTAATCATACCTTCTTCATCAGAGTTCGCTTTCTGGAGCATATGGTGTTGGATCTTTTTTGCTACAAATGTTCTTTGCATTGGTCCCTTGTGATGAGTTTTCACCAATGTAGGTCCTTTTGCATGTGTTTGCCGACGTTTTTTTTTTTATATCGGTAGGTTTCCGGAATCTGTTTAAATGCATTTTCTATATTTACAGGTTCCTCACCTGCTTGACTGCACGCCACTCACATCAAGTACCTTCATGATTCCTCAGTGAAGATGGAGTGACAGTGACACTAGCGTACTCTGAGTCATCTGTAATATTTCCTTTTGTGCTCATCGACTGTGATATAGTTCATTGTGTCGTGCATGTGATGTGCAATTATGACCTAAGGTTTTAACTTTTAACCCGCCTTTGCCGGTCCCAAGCCCGGATGTGAAAGGGTGATGGTTGGACAATACAACGTAAGTCTTGTTCATAAAAGTGTATTTTTGTTTTCATTATCAGGTGATGTTTCATATATCATTTCGTTTGTAGTTTATAGTATTATCTCATCTCTATTGTATCTTTGTCTTGGCCACTAGCCTCCTCCTGGTGTTCTTCCATGATTTGCTCTCCAATTAAACACTAAGATGCCTCGTTCTATTTATGTACCAATGGTAGGCAACATGTGTTATTCGTGTACACTGTCTTCACACACGTCGATTGGGTTATTATACGCCGATTGGTGGTTATCCCCGACTTGGTTACTGCTTTCGCTACATGCTCAACCACTGACACGAAATAAGTCTTAACATCATTATTTCCTCAGCTTACCAGTCTGAAGGTCCAAAACTATCTCTGATGTGTGTGAAGTCCGACTTGCTTCTTGTGAATACCTCAGCCTGTTCTCCGAAGGAGGCCGCTTGCTGGTATGGAGTCCAAATACAACTTCAATATGCCCAGTGTACAGCGTAGAGGTTCCACAAATCGCGTAGATTCCTGACTAAGATTGAGTTTTAAAATCTCGACGTCCTCAAATTTAAAATTCATTTTCAGTAAGTTGAGATAAAACATTGTCACCTTCCTCATCGAACCATTTTGATCAAATGACGACCATGTGATTCAATTGTTCACTCAACAACACCAGTTTGCACGTCGAGTATACGCACGCAGCACTCGCGATTTGCATGTGGAGTACGTATACGCACGCAACACTGGCTATTTGTACGTGGAGAACGTGTGCTCACGCAACACTGGCTATTTGCACGTGGTGTACGTGTGCGCACGAAATGCAGAAGCTGGGCATGCCCGGATTCAACAACTATAGTTTTTTCCCCCACATTCATTCATATAGGGTAGTGAATGAGTATGATGTAAATGTATTTTATCTATATCATGGCTTTTCAGCTTATATGGTAGGAAACAGTGATGCACATCTAAGACGTTTACCACTTTGGTGAAACTCACTCGTACGAATTTGACAAACTTATGAACATGATCCGGACGGACCGGGAATATATTATGATTGTTTAATGTTTGATATAGAATAACAGACATAATTGTACTAATTTTGTGAAGCTTTATTAAGTCCAGTACATCAGCGTCTAGAGGCAGCGACCCCCAGTCCTGGAGAAGCGATGGGACCATTTCTTGTACTTGCACTTCCAGGGATCACAGCAGTGGGTGGTCCAGCCAGAACATTTGTCGTTGTACCAAGCACATCGGCCCCCGAAACCCAGAACCTGCCCATCCCGCTTGACGTCACTCCCGTCACTGACGTCGCCGTCACTCGCTCGTCTCGCGGCGGAGCTTACACTGAAACAAGGAATTAGCACTGGTAACTCACAAAACGCGTAAGACAAGATGGCCGTGCACGGAATTTGGGCAAACATATTAGGTTTGTTACAGGTAGAGAGGGTGTTCGCATGTTGTACACGTGCAGGTCATGACGATGAAATTGACTACGCTCCCGAAGAAACACGTGATGTTCAAAAGACTTTAAGAGTTTGGGGTGTTTGGGATCGATGTCCAGCTATATGACAGCGGTTTGTTAATAATCGAGTCTGAACCAAACAATCCAGTGATTGACATCATGAGCATCGATCCACCCAATTGGGATTCGATGACATGCATCAACCAAGTCAGCGAGCCTGACCACCCGATCCCGTTAGTCGTCTCTTACGACAAGCATACATGTAGTCGCCTTTTACAGCAAGAATGAGTTGCTGAAAACTTATTCTACACCGGATCTTCGCGGGTCAGAGGTCGGTGTGACAAGGCGATAACAGAAGTCTCTAAAAATCGTTTGTTAGAAGTTAATTACAATCGAATAAACATGTCAAAGCTAGGTGGGCATTCTCAGGCTCGAAAATTGGCCCGCCTCTCTCTCTCTCTCTCTCTCTCTCTCTCTCTCTCTCTCTCTGAGGACACGCACATATCCATCGTACTACTTGTCACGGACCACCCGCTACCCCTTTCCTCACAATGGTACATATCAGTTGGGGGACCTCACACATTGTCAAACGGGGTTAATTGTCAGGTCACAACTCAACTTATCCTAGCTTGCCAGTAGTTTTGTTGGGATGATTTTATGTCGCTTGTAGCAATATGAAAGTCATTTTGGGTTTAATGCCGCTTTGAAAAATAGTTCATATTGCTATCTCTTTTACGCCTCGGACAATATTCCAACTGTATTTTACTCTGACACGATACCTCTGCGTAAAGATCGGAGCATACCTCAATAGGGGTGAGTGAGTGATTATGGTTTTACGCCGCTTTTAGTAATAGAGTGATTGTATTTTGTTGTTGCAATGAGTAGAAAGTAAGAAAGAACTATTCAAACAATAGCGAATGCCTCGTGGAATCCAAGCTCGTTAAATATGTTGGGTGATGTATTTTAAATATTATTCCACTACAATAGTAAATCAGGAGGAGAAACGTAAGGCCGCTGAAACATTATTTCAGTTAATTCACGTGGTGTCAGCTTCACTTAGGAGGAAAGGTCGTTTTGCTCGTGGTCAAATCCATGAGCTCTGATATGGTGCTGACAAACCAACGACCATAATCAGAGCGAAAATAGGATTCGAAACTATGATCATAGGATCGTGGCACGCTCAAGGGACGTAACTATTCATTCAAAGTTGCAGTGCCTTACATTTTCAGACTCTGGGCCAGTGATTGATATTATGGGCATTGTTCCAGATATGTTATGACGTCACGTAACTATATGTTACTACTTCCTGTCGGTTATTCAGTTATGGTGGTACGAGTTGAAAGCGCTAGCCTATTAAAACTGTGTTCAATCTTACTCCACTTATTTAATTATTACTATATTGTGCCTGAGAGTTAGAACTTTACTGTGCTTTTTTCTATATATGTATTTATGTATGTATGTATGTATGTATGTATGTATGTATGTATGTATGTATGTATGTATGTATGTATTAAAACTGTTCAATCTTACTCCACGTATTTAATTATTACCATATTGTGCATGAGAGTTAGAACTTTACTGTGCTTTATATATATATATATACTTCGCAATATTTGCAGACCTTGGTAAACTTGAAGCGAACTAGTGAACTATATAATTTTAATGTAAACTTCCTTCTACCCTTCCAAAGAAATTCCGGGCCAGAATATGTTCCAGTATATATGCTTGTATTGATACAATATGTGACACGCAGTGCGTCACGCTGCCCCGACAGTCTGGATGCATGCAGATGTTGCATTTATTACGTCGCCCTGGGCTGATCAATGGCACATACTTCTTTGCAAAAATAATGATTTCGATGTTTGTTGCGAATATGTATTTTCCCAGATACATTCAGTCAATTCAAAATATTCGTAGAGAGTATTAAAATGTCCTGACGTCACACACTCCGTAATCGACTTCCAATCAAACTCTATTTAGGGGCGTCGCTTTCGTGTGGCTAAACACGAGATGCTATTAATCAAAACTCGTGTCGAAAACAATCAATGTTGAACACAATGTTCGCCTGTCGTTTTTTATTGTCCGCTTTACTCTGTTTATGCTTTTCAAATTTATATTGGTCAAGCATGTGTATGTCCTAAAGTATTACAATCTGCAAAGTTGCTGTGTAGACTTTACTTGCCCTTTAAGCACCTGGACAGTTCTAGGCTGCATGAACATTTGGTGTTCATCAGTAAAACAGCTCATCAAGGGGTATTCTTTCAAGAACAATCAGCTCCAAGAAGTCATTTTCCTTTAATGAAGTTACATTAGAGTGAGTGAGTGAGTATGGTTTTACGCCGCTTTTAGCAATATTCCAGCAATATCACGGCGGGGGGCACCGGAAATGGGCTTCACACATTGTACCCATGTCGGGGATCGAACCCGGTTCTTCGGCGTGACGAGGGAACGCTTTAACCACTAGGCTACCCGACCGACCCTCCAGGCGAGTATCGCAGGTGAGAAATGAGTTAGGGCTGGGACAGGTAACTCTTTTTGGGTAGATCCTGAGTAGGACAGGGGTACCCACAGCACTATCCTGACCTGTGGTTTGTCACATGATATGTTGTTAAATGACAATAACAATAAAAATCTATTGTTACACTGCAGGTCACTAATACTGACATTTCTTTCAGACCATTCACAAATTTCTCCCAACTTAAATATGTTTGAGTAAAGATACAAAACTGTTGAACAGTCAACTTGGGTGTATGCATGATCAGGCTACCCGACCGCCCCTAAGGAAGTTACATTAAGAACGACTAATTCAAGAATTCTAACAATCGAATAGCTTTCTTATTGTTTTTATCCGGGGCACTTTTCTAACCTTAGTAAAACATCAACAATGAACGAATGAATAAACTTGAAATATGTCTAAATAAATCGCACATTTTCAAGGAAAGGAAATACAACGGTTGAAAACAAATACTGTATTTGTTACCTGTCGATCATTTCTCGGACGTGTCCATTAATCTCCTCTGAGTTGTCGTCTGCTGCAAATGAAACGTAAAACAGGAGCTGATAATGAAAGACAAAGATAAATATGTCCTTTATTGCCTAAGGGTAGATGTTGGTTGGTTGGTTGGTTTGTTGGTTAACGCCGCACTCAGCAATATTCCAGCTTTATGACGGCGGTCTGTAAATAATCGAGTCTGGACCAGACAATCCAGTGATTGATATCATGAGCATCGATCTACACAATTGGGATCGATGACATGCATCAACCAAGTCAGCGAGCCTGACCACCCGATCCCGTTAGTCGCCTTTTACGACAAGCATAATCACCTTTTACGGCAAGTATGGGTTGCTGAAGACCTATTCTACCCTGGAATCTTCACGGGTCGCCTAGCTTTCGCTCGTCATACAAATGATCCGGGTTCGATTCCCACTCTTTTGTCCCTGCTGTGATATACCTGAAATACATTAGGGATAAAGTGTATGTACATTCAGTTTCTATTCTCGACTCCGTGGGGAGAATACAAATCACGCTGCCTTTTATAGGCACTATAGAAGGTCTTCGTGCATTTCACTTTCCCCTCTAATTCCCATGCCATCTCACACCCGTTACCTATTTGTTGCTCGATAAACAGAGGAGAGTTTAAGTAAAGTGATATCTAATGTTTTAAGGCCTGTATTTAATAGCGGGCATTACTGTAGTCGGGACGTAACTTCTGTGCTGTTCAAAATGGGGTTCAACCCAACTCACTCATTCAGGCAATAATGGTTGATTGCGTGTCACCCTACCCCGACGAAGGGCCATCTATGCTCATGCTATCAATCACTAGTTTGTCTGGTCGACAATCGAATATTTACAGGTCGTCATACAGCTAGAAAATGACAGAGTGTGGCGTTAAACAGCTGATAAACAAATCACTCAACCAGAATATAACAGGTGAGACTATCATTCAATCTTTAAGTGAGTGAGTGAGTGAGTTGGGTTTTACGCCGCTTTTAACAGTATTCCAGTTATATCACGACGTGTCAGCCTAATGTGGGAGGAAAACCCGAAGTGATGCAGGTCTCAGACGTTTACCAGTTCGGTGAAACCCACGAGCACGGGTATGGTTCTGACAAACCTAGAAACATAATCGGGGCGAACCGGGATTCGAACCCACAATCATAAGTTTCTGGCGTGCCCAACTCTGCACAGCGAATCGCGGCGCCTTAGACGACTGGGCCACCCGTGACCCCTTCAATCTTTAAGAAAGCGGACAATTACGCACATTTATACAGGCAGTGAAAAATTAAAGAGAGAGCAATACCCACGTTATGGCGTATCACTACCAAGTTTTACGAAATTAGAATAGATGGATGTTTATATCAATTTAACAATCGGTCTGGGGCATACAATTGCTGGTGGTAACAGGACGAGCAGCAATCAACCAATTATGACAGTCAGCGTGGATTGTTAACCTTCCCCACATCTAATGCATGCTGCACAGCTGTTGGTATTACGTATGCTGAGGCCGGCAGATGAGGCAATGTGACAGCTGGCACCCGTTAAACTACACTACCGGGCAAAGGACAGCATACGCCCATCTTCGATGGTGGCTAAATGAAACAAACACGAATTGGTTATTCCATGGTGATGTATTTGATACAGGTACCAAAGTTGTGTTTTGGACCTTAAGTTTGCAGCGTTTCGGCGACTGCTTACAGCCTCGTAACGTTTTGATAACTTTGATAATGTCTTGGTCAAATCTAACCATCAAGTGTATACTTTCTTTTCCCCGGTAGTTTATAACTGAAGTAGTGTTTAAAGCGGCGTAAACGCCGGTTACATCTCACTCATGAAATCGAAAACGTCCCCAGTGTAGAAAATCTAATCTTCAAGTGTATACTTTCGTTTTCCCGGCGGTTTGCAACTGAAATAGTGTTTTAATCAACCTTTTATATTATTTTTATGTATTAAATAATTTTTCTTCTGAAACATTTTCATAGATATAATTTATGATTATTATTGTTATGACAATACTTGTAACAGATTCAAGAACTTATGGAATACTGTAAGGGACGTTTTCGCGATCACGCATTCTCGGGATCTCGACCTTTGGAAACGAGCTAAATGTGCCTAAAACACGAGAATGCGAGATGGCGAGAACGCGGGATTTGGCCATAAGTCTCGTGTTTTGGTAATCTTTTGCTCGTTTTCAAAGGTCGAGATCGCGGGAATGCGAGATCGCGAAAAGAACTCACAAAGACACCAGCACAAAATTACGTTCATGGTACCGAATATATGCAAGGGTAATTGAACCCCTCCCATATTCTACTAAAGGAGCAAGATCCAAGTTGCACTTGAAGAATTTTACTCGATGGCAATTTTATTGATTGTATTTTCAAATCACTGAACATTTCAACACAAGATAGGTTTTGTTCACGATCGCAAATCATTTACAACTTAACACTAAGCGTGTAGTGTAGACATATTTCCTCAAGCCCAGTGCAGAGATAACCCACTGGCTATACCAATTGAAGACTCATTAGCCATTTCTCAAAAAGGTTGGTTCATTGACCGATATGCGCTTACGTTATATTATGCGAACAGAAGTATTCATGATTAATTTCAATGAAAATATGCACAATAGCCCTTCTAGAATTGCGACTCGTGGAGATTCCGTTAAATTACAAATAATGCTGGGTTTGCTTTTTGGTTTGTCGTCCGATATCAGACACATCGCGATAAATATTTCCCGTCTCAAAAAGATCTCTCAGGTTTTAAACTAGAAAGGCTACAGCCTTACATGCTTTTAGTATTCGTAAACTGAAACGATTTTGAACAGCACTGACGTGACCCTATTGTGTCCCTTGGCTTCTAAAACGCTCAGGTACTAACAAATACTATAGAGCAAGTAATGTGAATAATGGGTTGCGATTTTGTTGCGAATATAAAATTAATTATCCTAGAAACACGAAGTCAGTTCCCGAGAGAAATAATCATAACATTCGTAGAAAGTATCTAAGTGAGGGTGGTGAAATTACGTGCCGCTTACTGTGTTTTGATGTTACGATCTGCAAAGTTGTACATACCTATGGGACTTCCACTTTATAATTGTTCAGATATTTCTCTACATCAAATTCCCCTTCATTAATGACATAAGAAAATGAGAGTAGTAAACACAATATTATATTTGTGTTACACTATTTCTATTTGATATTAATCATATTTCAAATGTAATTAATACGCATTGATGATTTTATCAATTATATAATTTCTTTTATTATTTGCTGTCTATAGCTAGTTGCGTATTTCACGTACTTCTATACGCCAACTGAACGGAACATGGTTTTGAGAGAAGGTCTGAAAAAAATCCCTGTTATTTCACAATATTATGGAGAGGTGAAATGGGGTTTAACGTCGCGTCCGGCATTGTTATTGCATTTACATAGCGACGTGTGTGTGTCTGGCCTGCTTGTACTAGTCCGGACTGATGCCGATTTATATGCTCGCCCACTGAGATGCCATGCCGCAGTTAAACATGAATACCCCACTCAGACACAGTATACTGACTCCGAGCCGACCAGTTCTTGTTTTAGCCGCTTAATGCCGAGCGCCAGACAGGGTAACAAAAGTACCATGATTTAACGTCTTTTGGTATGACGTGGCCGGGGATCGAACCCCGGACCTTCCGCTCTCCGGGCGGACGCTCTACCACAAGACCACGGAGGCGGTCTCACAATATTATGAACATATACTTTTTAAACACACAAGTCCTGTGAGCAATAATAACTAAGCCCAAATTCATTTATACTAGCCATCAACATGACACCCACACAGAGTGAATTCCATGACAGTTTCCTGAAGGTAAGGGGGGCACGGGTGGCCCAGACGTCTAAAGCGCCGCGATTCGCTGTGCAGAGTTGCGTCCCTTGGACACGCCAGAATCCTATGATCGTGGGTTCGAATCCCGGTTCGCCCCGATTATGTTTCTAGGTTTGTCAGCACCATACCCGTGCTCGTGGGTTTCACCGAAGTGGTAAACGTCTGATACCTGCATCACTTCGGGCTTTCTTCCCACATCAAGCTGACACGCCGTGATATAACTGGAATACTGTTAAAAGCGGCGTTAAACCCAACTCACTCACTCACTCCTGAAGGTATGGAATAAAGAAGTCACTCACCCAATGCATGGCCGAGGCACGCGAGGGCAACGAGACACGCGAACACGTGCACAAGTTGGCTCATTCTTGACTGTAAAATCGCAACACCCCAGAAAACGAACCTTCTCAGTGAATATTCCCGTATGTGGCCCCAAAGCTCACACATTGACAATTTATAGCAGACATGAGACTAATGGGTGCAAGACACGACCTTTCCACGTTACTGACAATTGAGGCCAGGATATTTCACCGCGTCAACAAAATGTCGCCCTCGTCACATTCAACGAGAGATTCAATAATTAAAGACACTTATGAAGGTGTGCTGGTATCTAATTGTGAACCATTCAAATTAAATGTTATTCGGCTTTATTAGTAGCTTTGATATGACATGTAATGAAGGGCGTGACTGTGACAGTGACAGTGAATGTATGGCATGCCCCCGATCTTGTGTTGACACAAACTGTGTTGTGTGGATTAACATCATCATTCGGGACACGCATCCGTTTAATGATAATCACGACCGGTCGGTCACAAATGCTAAAGTAGTTAGAAGTTGCAAACATTTGCAGCTACAGCAAACCGGTCAATTGCGTGCCCAACAGTGTCGTGTGAGTGAGTGAAAACTTAACGTTGCATCGGCGTTATTTCAGCCATATAGCGACGAGAACAAGTTGATATATACACAGTTTAGTCATGAATACAAACATATTCAAAAACAGATATATGAAACATACTTGGCATAACAATATTATTTATACAGTTTTAAACATGGACTATAAGCCACCAGTAACCAAAGTTTGGCCACCTCGCAGGGGATCATGGGGACTTACGGGACAGTGTCGTGTGTTCACCACAAGTCTGGGGCGGTCGGGTAGCCTAGTGGTTAAAGCGTTCGCTCGTCACGCCGAAGACCCGGGTTCGATTCCCGACATGGGTACAATGTGTGAAGCCCATTTCTGGTGTCCCCCGCCGTGATATTGCTGGAATATTGCTAAAAGCGACGTAAAACCATACTCACTCACTGTCGACGATGTAATACATATCTATCTATATATGTCCAATACAGCCCATGCAAGTCAGTATCATTTGGCAAGTCTACATTACTGAAAATAAAAAAAGTTTCTTTCTATTATATTCTATTAGGATAATTTAAGATATTTTATCTGTAAAATATGTTCATTTCAGAGATTAGATTTACAAAGGTTTTTAGTGACCCACAGAGGTGTGTGTTAACCACAGATATTGCGTGCCCACAGAGTAGTGTCTTATTGCACTGATCATGTTTTGGGTAAAAGCTAGCGGTATATCATTCCTGTGATCGGTGCCTACAGACAGATATTGTAAACACGCGGGTGCCGTGTGCATGTTGGCCTTGACAGTGTCACAACACTGATCTCTATTTCGTACCATTGTTGTGCGTCGTTGTTGTGCGTTAATCGCGCCTTGCCTGCGACGCTCCATGCTTTTAAAGACAAAACCTTGTTTGTCATGTTGATCATATTCCCTGTCAGCATCTTGGAAACAAACAACGGAACTTATATGCACGAGGGGGTTAACGCTGGAGGATTGGCTTAAGGTGAGAGTGACGTCACAGGTGGTGGGGGTGGCGGTTATAAACTGTTTAGTATCTAAGTGCATTACGATAGAAGGAATTCGTATTTCTTACAGTTCCGATGCACATATCGTTACGATTCTGTGAAACCACGTATTTTCTGTATAATTTCACTAATTAAATAGCCAGTGGTGTTAAATACATTCCGTTTTCCTGCAATATTGGGCAACTTAATTAAAACAAACCTCAGCATTATACAACATATTTTAACTGAATAAATGTAACTGAAGACCTAATTCATGCTTACCACCACTGCACCGGAACCTGTGTGTTCTAGCAGGTACAACACACAACTCAAGGCAGGGACGGAATGTGGCTGATTGCTGGGTGACGTTGTCGTACAAACAGCATTCTCTATTGTCCTAGAACTGACTCATTTTCAGTATCATTACAAATAATAGGTAATTTTTGACATTCCCCTAAGCTGCTGTTTTGGGTTTTGTAACAGTATGTAATACCTCAGTATCCCTACCAAACGTTGACTAGCATATGACAAGCACCACCCTGAAGCATTCATTTCGTGAAGGGCAGTTGGGGAGCCTAGTGGTTAAAGCGTCGGCTCGTCGCGCCGAAGAATCGGGTTCGATTCGCCTATGGGCCCATTTTCCAGTGTCCCCCGCTGTGATATTGCTAGGGGGCATGGGTGGCCCAGTCGTCTAAGGCGCCTAGATTCGCTGTACAGAGTTGCGTCCCTTGGACACGCCAGAACCTATGATTGTGGTTTCGAATCCCGGTTCGCCCCGAATATGTTTCTAGGTTTGTCAGCACCATACCCGTAAAAGTCTGAGACCTGCATCACTTTGTGCTTTACTCCCACATTAAGCTGACACGCCGTGATATAATTGGAATACTGTTAAAAGCGGCGTTAAACCCAACTCACTCACTCACTGTGATATTGCTGGAACATTGCTGAAAGCGATGTAAAGCCATACCCACTCTCTAACTCATTTAGTGACTATTGATAGGACATCTGATCAACTAATTTTACGCAAATGCATGAAAATTTATTTATCCATAGTGTTGGTTACAATTAAATATATCCCAAAACCCCACATATTTAATGTATCATTATAACCATCCCTTATAGTTAAAAGAACTTCACCTTTTACAAAACTTATTTCAGCTGTATTTAGAGTTAAAGACCAAAGAGAATAAAACTGACCCCTTGATGTATGCAATGTATCCAGATGACAATACACAACCAGCACAGACTTAATATAAACCTATTTCCCTAAACGACCTCAACCAGTCAACAGATGCCAACAGATGAAATCCATGGATTACGTCTTTCCATTGACTGTCCCACCCAACGGCAAGGAGTACACGCATACAGTTTCAGCCCAGAGTAGCGCATGCGCAGCCTACCCAGTGAACCATGCTGACAAAGTTTGAGCTGTAGGAATTTTTCCAAAACAACAACAAAACCGTTTCACCTGTACGAGGCCCTACAGTGATGGTTGAATGTACAACGAGCTTCACAGTGTCTGCACTATGAACAACAAGTGTAATCATCAACTGAGGCCATGTAAAGGTGATATAAATATAGCTGCCAGGCGCTATCCACCCATGGATCTATGCATCCTTATTCAAAAACATTTACAAAAGCGCAAAGCCCTATAAAAAATAAATATGTACAACGATCTTAGAAATGTAAACAATAAATAATCAGAAAGCTCATCTGGAAACAGTCACGGCGCGTGGCGCATGCGGAATTCTATTGATTATTTATAACATACACAACGGGATGAAACAGGCGCTAAAGATGAAGGCCATACATATTGTGCGTGACACTTCACACATGGAAGTATTCAGGTCTGATGTCATCACCGCACAGCTTCCGTCGATACCATCCGTCACCAACTCTTCCGGCGTCATAAAAGAATAATGGCTCGTTTTGCTATATCCTTCTAACGTTTGTATACCAAGTGACAAGATACATTGTGGTGAGTATTGGCGCTTGTTAATGTATAGCAATTCACGCAAGGTCGACTGTAATCAATAACGTTAAGTGATTGCGACGATTACACCGACCGAAGCAGTAATCGTTCATCTGTGTGACGTATCACCGCTTCCAGTGGTCACTCGCTGTGGCGGGTCGAGGATTTCTCTAAAGGGGTCCATACCTTTTGGTTCTACAAGTTGAAGGTGAGTGGTGGGGTTTTGGGGTGGTGGTGTGTGACGTCTAAATGGTTTTAACAACTCCTATTTTAACCAATGTGTTTACCGTTCTAACGTGTCTATGGTCACCACATTAAAGGACACAGATTACATTGTCTTCAAATAGGGGAACTATGGTAGCAATGTAGAAATAAGAGTAATAAAAGACAAAACTCTCACCAATCATTAGAAATGTCTGCTAAAACTGAGTCCACTAGACGAATCCGACTGTATCATATCATGTGTTTATGAACCATTATTAAATAGTGTTTTTTGGTTTCGTTTGTTGTTTAACTCCGCACTCAGCAATATTCCAGCTATATAACGGCTGTCTGTAAATAATCGTGTTTGGACCAGACAGTCAAGTGATTGATTTCATGAGCATCGATCCACCCTATTGGGATACGATGACATGCATCAACCAAATCAGCGAGCCTGACCACCCGATCCCGTTGGTCGCCTCTTACGACAAGCACAGTCACCTTTTTACGGCAAGCATTGGTTGTTGGAGACCGCGAACAGGTGAACGTATCCTGCCCCACCGGTGGCACCCTTTTCACACATTTAAAACATTTTGGCTGGTGTGTATATGGTTCACGCAGTTCAGTCGATGAAGCTGATGTTTGGCCCATTAACGATAGGCAGATAAGAACACAGTATCTGCTGAACAACGTTAGCTATAAAATATTCACAACTTTGTTCTGCATGACCTGACTGGTGTTCCTGTACACTAAACGTCGGGAAAAGTAAAAGGAGATAACGCCAAACATGGACGCTCTGCTAAATCGTGCAAGTCATAGCTGCGGAGGCTGTTGTATAAGTGTCAGCCATTCCGAAAAATAGCATTACTTAGTCATTCCGAAAATAGCATTAATTCAAAACAATGCGTTCTAAATGTGATTAGTGTAAACATTATGTTACATGTTATTGAATCCACTTTACCATGTAAAATATATTATTTGACATTTTGAAACATATATACATGGCACTGTATATTCAACTGATACTGAAATGTTTAACTTTAACCAAACATCAGACAGACCAGTCAAGTGTGACCAAGTGTAACTGTGTTGCTGCCTGGTCTTACCCACTAACTATTAAGCTCGTTAAGTGATACAGATTAACCAGATTATGATTGTGTTTCTAAGTTGCGTTTGATCTGTGTCGGGTTGCGGGTGTTAGTCAAGGAGTAGTTTTTTACAATGATATAGAATATAGGAAACACAGTCAAAATTAATAAAAAAATCTTTTAACCGTTGAGTTTGTTTTTCATTATTTTCATGAAATACATTGTAAGGTAGAATAATAACACGTTATATATGGCAATAGTGTAATGAAATATATCCTGTAAAATCACACGTTTCATTATATATTGTGTATATAGTGTCTTTCTAATAAAGTAATAACATTATTTCTTATGTAAAATGATAACATTCCCGTCCGCTGTATGAATGGTTATAGTGAAATATGTTCCACATTAAAGTTGAATAAATATATCCTGTAAATAATTCAAATTTCTGGTGAATACCTCAAAATAATTTATTTCTGTATGATTTGAAGATTAAAAGTTCATAATAAACCTCTCCTGTAATTTCATCAAAATGTCAGTTTTTCGGTCTGTTCCACTTTAATAAAAGGTAAACAGGTACCTATTACTGAACTAACCATCCTTGACTAATCCTGGTATGGGATGTCTGACAAGTGGGATGTCTGACAATTGGAAGGTCACCGATTCCCCAAAGCGGGCTAAGCCGAGACCCGCTGAACCTGTAAAACTGTCCCAAGTGGCTTTTAACACAACTCGCTCACTCTTATAAAGAAAGATTTTTAACAATGATAAATGTACATATATATGAAACTTTGAGCGCCAGGACACCTGCTGTCATGAAAAAAGTTCTGCGAATATTGCGAACTTCTATTTGTCATATTGCAAATTTTGAATGATTTATGACAACGTATTGACATAAATTATACCAGTGTGTTAAGGACGGGTCACATCGACATACTGATCCTCATTTGAGTAATCAAACCGCCTACGTCTTGTACAATCCGTTCCATATGTCGCCTCATACGCCAAACATTGGCTGCTAGGGCCAATTCCAGCCCGCATTTCCCTCAGTGATAAGTGATAAGTAAGATTTCGTGTACTAGCCCGCTGAGATACCATGCCGCCAGACTAACACTTATTCAATGAAAACATTTCTTTAAAATAATTATATTTTTTTCCCTTCAAAATAACCTTTCCTCTTCTGCTGTTTCAATGTGGACTCAGGGAAACTAGACTTGGCTTAGTTTTATGTAGACATGCCTAGGATTTTGTAAAAAAGAATATCTACATATATATAAATTCCACAGTCATGGCGTAGGACTACCGTGCCGCAGGTTAACAGGGAAACCAAATCAGACACAGTATACTGACATAGAGCTGTCCAGTCCTTGTTGTAGCCCTTAATGACAAGCGCCAAACAGGTTACAACAAGTACCATCTTTTAACGTCTTTTGGTATGGCACGGCCGGGGGATCGAACCACCAACTTTGTCACCTTGGCCACGGAGGCGTTCAATTGTTGATAAAGAAAAGAGGTTGGTGATGGCATGTGGTGATATTGACGCAATTTATTATTTTCTTCTTTTCATTGCTTCATTAGGCAGATGCTTGATGGTAACACGTCAAGTGAGGCCTTATCATGATTAATTATCCAGAGGTAGGGTCTGCTGGCTTCGGATTGGTCAAGAAGAATACTCTGTTGTTGCTGCTCTTTGACTCAATTCAAACTTCTTACGGAGGCAAGGGAGTTAACTGACTATAAAAGTCCTGTTTCCATCCTTGCCGAACGAGGCTGGAATTTCGGAGTTCTGTTTCGGCTGGACTAACGAGTCTATGTAGAGTCAACAAAATCGTGTAACGAAATCGACATCCGGTAAACTGCCTTGCAGATTTCGGTCGATTGCAGGAATTGCAAAGCATTTGTACCGTTAACTGGGCGTCTTCAGATATTTTTTAAAAATCTTTGCACGTTTTAAATCAAGGTGCTCACTCAAGTAAGTTGATGCATTTCGCGGGGCAAGACGCGTTTTATAACAATATAGATCCATCAGACCGGATTTACTGGTCGCCGCCATTTTGTTTGAAGCAAATTCAAGTAATATGGTGGAATCTCATTGGTCAGTGGGAGGGACATTCATTGTAGAAGGGACATAACTCGTAATAGCCACTGGTGGCGCTACGATCGAGCAACGGACTTCCATCCTCGTTCGGCAAGGGTGAAAACTGGACTTTTATAGTCAGTTAACTCCTTTGCCTCGGGAAGATGCAATTCAAACGACATAGACAAAAAACGGACAGGATATCCGTATGCTGATCGCTGAAGTGTGTCCCCATTCTGCATTTTATGCGATATTTACCATATCGTTATATCGGTATGATCTGACTTGGTCGTTACATATGGTCATGTTCGTGAAGATCCGGGGTAGAATAGGTCTTCAGCAACAAATGCTTTCCGTAAAAGGCGACGATACTTGTCGTAAGAGTCGACTAAGGGGCTCGGATGGTCATCCTCGTTAAACTTGGTTGATGCATGTCACCGTATCCCATTTGCGTGGATCGATGCTCATGATCTATCAATCACTGGACTCGACTCGATTACTTACAGACCGCCGCCATACAGCTGGAATATTGCCGAGTATGGCGTTAAACAACAAACAAGACACCAGGAAAGCATGTCGGTTGTGGCTGTGGGTCACGGACATCACGAAGCAACGGGGGGCGTGTTCAAATCAATTGAGGGACACAGCTTGGTTATACAGTCAATAAGTCATGGATTCATGTTGCATAGTGTGATTGTCAGTCGTGACGTGTGACCAGCATTCAGAGACAGCACTTCAAAACTGTGCTTGCTGTTGATACTACTTGTGACATAGCCTAATACATGTATGAACAGATTGCACAGAAGTAAAGAAGGCGTTATTGGTGTAAGGAGGACATCGGGTATGTACATAAATACTGAAATTTAGTTACTTTTGTTTTTATTTTATTAAGAAAAGTTGATTTATTTGAACGATTCGTGATTCTTGTGCGGTGTTTATTATGATTTTGTTGATTTTGGTGAAGTTGAAACAACCATTAAAGATTTTCATACAATTTCTTAAACATGACAAGTTATGCCTCCTGCAACATGGAATTTAAAATCGATTTCAGAGCACCACCTTTGCAAAGCTTTCTATAAGTCTTTTTCATAGTTATCTAAGTGTTGATTTAACAATAGCTCAAGATATCTATCTGATTCCACATGTTCAACTCTTAGTCCGTTAATTATACAACGATCTCGGTTGAGATTTAACATGAACGACATTTATTTTCTGGTCTTTGTATTGCGGTGTTCCACAACATCACTCTAGCCTCGAGAACCTAATATACGATGGAAGGAAGTTATAAAACTGGTGTCTAAGCCAGACCCTTAGCACTTTACGTTCAATGGAGGCATGAGTGTGAGCATTGTTGCCAAAGGTATCAGTATCTGTGAAAATAAAATGAAAAACAAAATGAAATCAATACTTTGATATATCCCGTCAGGTCCTCTCTGAAAACAGATTATTCTGTGAACAGAAACAAGGAATACCCTTTGGTTTGAAGACAAAAGCAAAAGGACACTATTTGAGTAGTAAAATATATAAGATTCACGACACCATTTCAAATATGGATTCCTGCCAGATTCCAGGGCTGCGTGGAGCCGAGTGGAACATTTATGATACTCAATTACCGGCATGATATATAACTAAACTATATCTATATAACTGATATATAAATGTAATATGCAGAATAGCGTCCCATAGATCAGGATCCGCTGATAGTGGGTTCGATTATGATCCGTGGTTTTAGGCATGAGATGCGGCTCCGTGGGACCTGCATCACTTAGCTGACACGCCGTGATGGCCTGCCGGGCAAAAGAAAGTATACATCCATGTTTGATGGTAGCTAAATAAAACAAACAGGAAATGGTTATTTGATAATGGTCTATTAGATACGGGTATCATCGTTGTGTTTTAGATGTTTAGTGTGCAGTGTTTCGGCGACCGGTATCAACCTAGTAACGTTTCGATAACTTTGATAATGTCTTGGTCAAATCTAACCATCAAGTGTATACTTTCTTTTGCCCGGTAGTTTATAACTGAAGTAGTGTTTAAAGCGGCGTAAACGCCGGTTACATCTCACTCATGAAATCGAAAACGTCACTAGTGTAGAAAATCTAACCATCAAGTGTATACTTTCTTTGCCCGGTAGTTTATAACTGAAGTAGTGTTTAAAGCGGCGTAAACGCCGGTTACATCTCACTCATGAAATCGAAAACGTCACTAGTGTAGAAAATCTAACCATCAAGTGTATACTTTCTTTGCCCGGTAGTTTATAACTGAAGTAGTGTTTAAAGCGGCGTTAACGCCGGCTACATCTCACTCATGAAATCGAAAACGTCACCAGTGTAGAAAATCTAACCTTCAAGTGTATACTTTCTTTTGCCCGGTAGTTTATAACTGAAGTAGTGTTTAAAGCGGCGTAAACGCCGGTTACATCTCACTCATGAAATCGAAAACGTCCCCAGTGTAGAAACAGCTGTCGATGTTGACACAAGCAGGGCAGTCCAAAAGATCACCACTCGACATTTACCCACCACCATTTTGAACACATACATTGCGTGCAAGAAGCATGACGGACATACCTACATTGCAAAACCACAATATATTCCTGCGTTCGGGGGTACAGTGAAAGGATGTTACTGTAGGTTTTAAGTGTTGCATTAACTCCACAAACTTACTCATATTTGCTCACGAAGCGCTGAGTGTGACGGGCATAAACAAAGGAGCGTTTTCGATTTTTTCGAGAGTAACTGGTAGTTCAATTCATGGCACAGCGTGTTCTCTGAGATTATATATACCTCATTACGCGAGGGAACGCTTAGCCTATAATGTTTCACGCACAACGGATTAACTTTTGACAACTATTTCCTATTTCAGAAGATGGTTTGTCTGCGACGATGTAGATTTTGGAGGCAGCGCGGACCTACAGTGACGAGGTTGATTGTAGTTTTACTGGCAGTCGCTGTCATTGTGCATATTTCGACTAACCGTAAGTAGAAAGATATTGTATATTCCAGTTAGAAAGTAATATATGTGTGTGTATATATGTATGTATGTAGTATTATATACGAAAAAGATTCACATCCTCCATCCGCCACCTTCCTGAAAGTGCAGGGGTGGCCCACTAACTCCAGCTCAGTGTTGAGTTATTTTTATTCCGAGGTTCAAACATCATACATGTATTGATCGGAATACTCGGGTATCGGTTAAAATAGATTCCATTGTACATAGAACTGAACACACGTAACCAGTGTCAGGAAAATAACATAATCTACTCCTAAATATGTAAATATAAAAACTTGGTGATTTCTACGGTGGCCCATAAGGGACATGGAGTCTGTTTTTCAATATTTTGATATTTCACTTACTGTTATCGTAACCTTTTGCAAATTAACACGATTTGTCATACAAATATGTGATAAATCATGCATAAAGAAGATATTGAATCGCTGAAAAGTGAAGCGAAAATGTCAAAAACTAAAATGAAAATATCAAAAACAAAAACGAAACTGTCAAAAACAAAACCGAAAGTGTCAAAAACAAAAGCGAAAATGTAAAAAACTAAAATGAAAATACAGAAAAGTATTTCCACCGCGGAAACTGGTGGAAATACTTTTCACCGCTTTGGAAATACGTTTCTGTTTTTTTTTCATTTTAGTTTTTGACCTTTTCGTTTTTGTTTTTGACATTTCTATTTTAGTTTTGGACTTTTTCGCTTCACATTTCAGCGATTCAATAGCTACTTGAAAGTACATTTTCTATGTTTTCGGTTGTTTTTCTACATGATTTATCACATATTTGTATGACAAATCGTGTTAATTTGCAAAAGGATACGATAAAAGTAATTGAAATATCAAAATATTGAAAAACAGACTTCATGTCCCTAATGGGCCACCGTAGATTTCTTTACATCTTTTTCTTATTGTTTGAATGAACAGGCATGATCTGGTGATCAAGAAGATGCATTGATTTGTTTTGCAGGTTACGTCTCGGTCTGGAGTATTGCAAATGACAAACATCTTATTCCAGACTTCCTAGTAAGTACTGCAATAGCGACTTCGTGTATAAAATGTTAATTTGTATGTCAAGGTTTCACACTCAGATGTAACTGGCCCCGCACATGACTCATGATGTTCTTTCGGTCACACGAAATCATATGAATGTTCGCACAATGAGGGTTGTAGATATTTTTATACCTCCTCAGTTATGGATACTGAAGCCCGTTCGTTCGGAAAGTTCGCTTTTCCGGCTATTTTGGTTGGAAACGTCCACGTTTGAACAATAGGCGTTAGTCCGGGCGATCTAACAGGGACCGTCTGGATTAACGGGGGTTGACACTTTCTACGATACCAAAGTTGATATACAGTCAAACCTCGTTAATATGGACTGAATCGTACACAGTTCAAATCACCAGGGAGAACAAATCAGGTGTCCGGATTAACGAATCAGGTCACGGAGTAATGTCCCTTTATTCGGGTATAGAAGTTCTCAACAGTAATTTCCATGCAAGTTAAGTAACTGACTAGGTTGCAAGAACTGATCATGATATTTCAATAATATTTCCTTGAGAAGTCCAAATGATAAAATACTAAGTCTTTTTATGGCTTCAAATATAAGTGACTTTATATATATATATATCAAGTCGTGTTTGCTGTAATGTGGGAGGAGAGCCCAAAGTGACGCAGTGCAGAACCACACATGAACCTGTATGGTCTTGACAAACTAATAATGATACGTATTATAAAAAATAAGAATCGGAGCTAATTCGTATCTGATCCGAAGACCAGCGTTTCCTGACACGACAAAGGAAAGTGAAACAGGAAATAGCGTCTCATGTCAGCACGCAAACGAACATTTTATACTACCACTTTTGCTGTTTAATTTTGTTTTTGTTATTAGGCTAATGGTCCAGGTGTTATTGAAAAAGCTCTGTCGAAAGACCGCCATCAGACCCTCGATCTAGCATATAACTGGACGTACAAGGGAGACAGGGGGCATTTGATGAAACTGTATCACACCATTCTCGACAAGGCCCTTGGTGACGTGCAGGAAGTGTATAAAGTAAGTGCACGTAAGCCTCGCTGAGGTAACCCATCTCTGTGCTGCTAGAACACTGTGGACCAGCCTGTAGCACTGTGTAGCGACAAGTCAGTTTCAAAATAGATTATAGGGTTTGTTTCTGTTTGTTTGGTGTTTAACGCCGCACTCAGCAATAAATCCAGGTATATGACGGCGGTATGTAAATAAATCGAGTCTGGGCCAGACAATCCAGTGATCGACATCATGAGCATCGATCAACGCAATTGTGATTCGATGACATGCATCAACAAAGTCAGCGAGCTTGACCATCCGATGTCGTTAGTCGCCTTTCACGACAAGCATAGTCACTTTTACGGAAAGCATGGGTTGCTGAAGACCTATTCTAATCCGGATTTTCACGTGTCAGTTTATAGTGAGCAGCCTAGAGATAGGTACATCAGGTAACATAGTACTCATTTCACGATTAATACATGTATGCATACGTTTTCGAAGCTATTATATCTCCATTTTATTGTGATAAATACCCCGAACCCATTCTCCGCTTGATCTTCGTATGGTGCCCGATTTAAATGATATGGCGCCAATGACATTAGAGTCAGAAACAGCGACAGCTATTTTGTGTGACGTTTCTAATTGAGGGATGGAGATGTGACGTCACTTCCGAAATGAAGCTGAAACAGACACTGGGTACAGGGTGTTCTTCATTTTAGAGTGAGTATGGTTTTACGCCGCTTTCAGCAATATTCCAGCAATATCACGGCGAAGGACACCAGAAATGGGCTTCACATATTGTTCCCATGTCGGGAATCGAACCTGGGTCGTCGGCGTGACGGGCGAACGCTTCAACTACCCGATCGCCCTGTCATTAAAGAATGATGTAAAAGAGATAGAAGATATACAATGCACTAGATATTTGGGGATGGTGCATACGCTGAATCATTAGGAATCCAGCTGACACCGTTGGGAATCATCATACGTTATGAAATGAACATAACCAAAAGTGGTTATTCCGGAAACTGGTTAATCCGAGCAATAAACACTATACTGATGCTCAAGGAAGAGAGTTAACCCCCATTGCCTGTGTAGGTCTAGACAATGCTATAACTACCTTGGTAAGGTAAGACATTGTTGTTGTGTAATGAGAGCAATAATGATATGCTCGATACTTACGCATTATAACAAAACCATTTGCGACCAAGCAGACTAACACGAATGTAAACCTGCTGGTTCTGCATGTTGGCCCGAACCTACTACTATCAATGCAATAGATTGATGCACAACTAATGTAATTAGCCGATCAACGCTTTATGAATATGCATATTACCTTTTGAATCTCATTCATGTGCCTATGTCGGTGTATGCCAGCCAGACGGAGGAGCCAATTTTGTGTCAAGCATTTTATACACCCAGTGTACGATTTATTTGGGGGACAAATCCAAGATCAAAATTTCAACTTTATTTCTCAGAGCATCCTGTATGTACATTTACATTTATTTATTTATTTATTTATTTATTTATTTATTTATTTATTTATTTATTTATTTATTCATTCATTCATTCATTTATTTAAGGGTAGGTGGGATGGGTGGTAATTAAAACCTGAGGAATTTGAGGAAACAATGAATCGTACACTGAACATGATTTTGGTATACAAATGTAAATGTATTAAGGAAACCTATATAAGTTGTATAAATTGTATTCAAATGCATTCATATATGACGTTACGAAATATTTTCCGTTTTTAATAAAGGAACCGTCTGAGACGATATACGAGAAACGACGCCAACATGCCCAGAAAGCATGTGACACCATTCCTGGAAGCAACAAAGGTGTGCGCTCCACCATCCGTACCCTCTGGTACATGGATCAAACTAACATGTTGTACTGCTCTGTTGCTAAGGCAGGGTCCAGCTTCTGGCGACGGACTTGGAAGGCAGTGATTAGTCAAAGGGGTGACATCATACACTCCCCATATGAGTATTCATACGAAGATTTTCATTCAGGCCCCTTTCTGTTAAAACGTCAAAATAAATTCACAGACAGGGACGACACCCTTGAACATCTCGTTAATTCCTCGTTGAAATTCATGTACACCCGTGACCCGTACAGCCGTATTTTCTCGGCATATGTTGATAAAGTACTGGCTCCCAATACATACCTATGGGGGCTTGGCAAAAAAATCTTATCGGAATTCAGGAATGGTTCTTCTGAGAAAAGTCGTTCTTGTGGTCATGACGTCACATTTGGCGAATTTGTCAAGTCCATCATTTCTACGCCCACTGCATCACTTGACGCTCACTTCATCCCAGTCTCAGAGTGGTGCGATGTATGCAGTCTCAAGTATGACGTCATCGCCAAGATGGAAACCTTCAAGGCTGACTCGCTGTATCTCATGAATAAAGCGGACATTTTAGGTAAGCATGTTGAGGTTAAAGACTTTGGAATAGAATACACCGCGGACTCGTTCGTGGACTATGTCACAAGGACATTTTTACATAGAGGTGCTTTTGCCAACTGTTTAACGTTCCATGCGGCCATTCGTCGCTTGTGGAGACAGATGCAGATAGCCGGATCTATTTCCAAGGAGGAACAGTATCTGTTAACACCGGCTGAGAGCGACTCGATAACTGAAGTTAAGTTGATAAATATAATGCTTGGAGCATACAAGCGAACATCCTCGGAGTCAAGGTCAAACAAGAAGGAGGCTTTCTTACAAGCCTACCAGCAAGTTCCGTTGGGTGATCTGGAACGGATACGGCAGAAGTATTCAAAGGACTTTCTGTTATTTGATTATGACGACAGACCAAAAGAACTTTTTGACAAAACCTTACAACCGCCCCTAGCATTCAATTATTTTGATGTCTTGAAAGAGTAATCACCTTTGATAATATATATTGTTTACTTAAAGTACACTGTTTAAGGACCAAACGGCCCAAATTTACACATGTTGAATACAATATCAGTTTACTTCAGTTATTTCCAATTTGATTTACTTAACAATTAGGTCAATATAGTAGCCCGTTGGTTTTGTTTTCACAAACGTTCCACAATTCTTTATTTTACTATACTGGCAATTCATTTACATCAATATCAATATATTGCTGATGTTTTCTTTAATTTCCATCACAGCTTTGGGTTTTGGGGAAAATCAGGGTCAACTGGTTTTGTTTTAACAAACGTACCAACATTCTTTATTTGTCTTTATTTTACTAAACTGGCAATTCATTTACATCAATTACAAAATATTGCAGATGTTTTCTTTAATTTCGGTTTTTGGAAAATCAGGGTTAAGTGAGGAGTCCTACTTTTATAGCGAGGAAGTTTGCGACTTTCATTTAGTTAATTGCTTTTATATTTTTAACTTGTATTCTTTTGTGGAAATATTGTAAGCGAAATAAATTATTTTATGTAAAGATTGTGTGATGTTTGATATACTCTCAATAGAGATAAAGCCATGGAGATTAATAGTGAATCATGTCGCCAGTACTAGGAGGCGACAAACCAGGATGGCAAAGATGACAGAGCTATAGCTGATTCGACGTTACATGTGGATTCCCTAGACCAACGTTTAGTTCCAGAAACAAAGTTAGCTTATTTATAAATATATATCTACAAAATAAAAAGGAAAATCCGAATGGAGCCCAGAACAATGCTTAATATAATGAATCTGGGCTGTTTTAGATTATTCTCTAGGGTCGGGGAGACAGTATGGACTCCCCTACAGTGTGACCAAAACTTGTGTCGTCTCCTCCAAACAGTGTGGATCGTTATTCATGCTGTTCGCCGCTGGTTGACCTGTCCAAGTTCGGTTATTTACAGACCCGGTGGGATAAATAGTTGTGATGTTGTTCACAGCAACGTAGAGTGAGTGAGTGAGTATGGATTTACGCCGCTTTATCAATATTCCCGCAACACCAGAAATGGGCTTTACACATTGTACCCATGAGGGGAATCGAACCCGGGTTTTCGGCGTGACGAGCGAACGCTTTAACCACTAGGCTACCCCACCGCCCCCACAGCAACTGTGATCGACATTCACTTTTTTGTGGAACGGGTTATCATAATAACCATCTTCCCGTTGCAAGGGAGATAACTAACTGTAAAAGTCCAGTTGGAATACTTGGAAATGAGAAAGCTGATAAATTGGCAAAAACTGCATTAGAATGTGATGAATCAGAACAGGATGATACAATTTTACCTTCCCCTGCAGAGATGGCACCGTCAGTATGATACATGCTAAAACAAAATGGCAGCAGAGATGGGCATCATCCTTAAAAGTACGCCATCTCTATGGCATCGATTATTTTATTGCTAAATTACACATATCTAGAAATAACTGGACAGAGTAGGTATTCTTAACCAGACTTCGTCTTGGGCATTGTGGTCTTGGTGCATATCTCAGTGTTATTGATAAAGACATTTCTGCACATTGCACAGTGTGCAATCAGCTTGATAATATGGCTCATTATTTACTGCATTGCCACAAGTATGTCAATCAGCGTAAGGCAATGGTGGAGTCTCTCATAGTTCTCAATACTGACTTCTCATTGGCTCGACTTTTATGTTCTAGGAATATTGTTCGTCATGACGTTCAGAACGTTATCTCGCTTAATTTAAGGCGTGTGGCAGTTTTACTAGTTTATAAATATCCAGGTACTTAGCAAACCGTTATTATGGGCAAGGTGTAAATGGGCCTAGTTGCCCGAACACCTATAAAACTTTAAATGATCAATCAATCGTCAACCAGTTTCCACGTGGAAACTGAACTGTTTTTAGTGAGTTAACTCTCTTGCCTCGGGAAGATGCACAATAACTGTAATACAGAGAACATTGAGATATCGTCTCCAAGTGATGATTACTACTGACAGATTCGTCCGGGTATAGGAACTATACACTTGAAAAAAGGTTAAGCATCACCAGTTATTTATAACCATACATCTCTAACTATATACATGACATTCATCTAGTTAAGAGAAGTGGCTACAATGTCACTGTTTATCGTAGTGCTAACTGGGAGTAAATAAAAGGGTAGTGAAACACGTCATTAGATTGTCGATTTTAGTTTTTCTATTTGAGAATGTTAGTTGAAAGTATTTCGTTAGAAAATTAATGCAGGGTAGGATTTCTGACAATGGCTATATAGAAATATATAGAAAGTGTTTTTTTCCAGGTGTATAATAAATTGTGTCTCGATCCAAAAAACAAACAAAAGCCCGTTCCTTGGTCGATGATTTTGACGGGTTTAGGGTCTAAACAAGTTAAGATCTAATCATGTTTAAGATATTTGTTTAACAGCTGAATGTAGGATTTAATTTGGGAAAAGGCTGTATACCCACTTTCAAACTTAACACAATGTCACAATGTAATGTTTTACAGTTTATAAATATGTAAGGAATGACGAAGCTAATCTCACGTGGATCGCGCGATTAAGAATATATATTTATGTTAGTAGCGAGTGAGTTGGGTCTAACGCCGCTAGCGTCCGCCCGGAGAGCACAAGGTCCGGGGTTCAATGCCCAACCGCATCAAACAAAAAAACGTTGAAAGGTGGAACTTGTTGTTACCCTGTCTGGCGCTCGGCATTAAGGGGCAAAAGCAATGACTGGTTGGCTCGAAGACTGTATATCCTGTGTCTGAGTAGTGTGGTCATGTTAAACTGCGCCATGGTATCTCAGTGGGCTAGCGACATTAAACCCCATGTCATCTCACCTCACAGATATTGACATGAACAATCCACGCTTTCTGGGTATGTTGTCAACAAATCATCAACAAAATTACAGAGCTTGCATTGACCAGCTTCATCAGTCGTCTATTAAGTCCTGTACAGCTTGCTGGGGCCCTATTCTAACACAGAATCCCACGGGACCAGTAAGCATTGAATGTTACAGCTTCACAATGGCAGTCTGTGATTAATCGACTGTGAAGCAGGCACATCGATTGTGGCATATGCGGACAACTGCAGCCACAGGGGCAACCCACCCAACCAACCCACCCAATCCACATTGTAATCGACAAAATGTGAGATATTTGGGACCCAAATTCCACAGGGGACAGATGTTAAGACCTTAAATCACGCTCTTGTCAGTTATCCCAAATGCATTACACATTCTCCCCTATCAATACCACATAGCCTGTCCCTGGTTTTGATCAGGAATGTATAAGGACATTACAGGTCTGAGTTTTCACGGCTCTGCGCATTTATCTCAGTATGAATAAAATGCCGATATACACATGTGCAAAGCAAACACAAGCAAGCTGTTGTAGACGTAGAGGAGCATGAACAAATCAATGACAGGTCCAATTGTCCCAGACTGCAGTCACTTTACACAAATGGGCTGCCATTTTATCCCCATTTCACACATTTTGAAAAAATCGAAATGCATGTATTTATATTTGCAAATTCACACGAAAACACACTTTGTTTCTTTAAGATCATTTAGGCAGCATACAATCTTAAGAATTCAGAAAAATAACATTTATTACAGATTCATTAAAAAATTGGTAACTCAAGAAACGGATTTAAGTAATGTTGATATGCCTTGGGAGAATGTTTTGACTATTTTTGTCCCAGTAAATGTACATGCCGACTACATCAAATTCATTTTACCTACTACGACTGGAGACTGGGTGGCCCAGTTAACTGAGATGCTTGAATTACAGAAGTGGCTGTATCACTGCAACCCTGATATCATATACATATAGTTCCACACAAAGAGGAAAAACACAGCTCACTCACTCATTTTAAGTGTGAGTGTTCTGGGACGGGGGCGGTTATAATACAGTCCGTAATATTTGAACCTATATCACAAAGGCCTGTTAATATTCAAGTTCTGACCAGGCAGACCAGTGGGTGATAGAATGAGCATCAGTTGACACCATCTAGCAGAGCACACATTGTGTGTGTGTGTGTGTGTGTGTGTGTGTGTGTGTGTGTGTGGCTGCTTGTACTAGTCCCAACTGATGCCGATTTATAGTGCTAGCCCACTGAGATACCATGCCCCACTTTAACATGAATACCCCACTCAGACACAGTATACTGACTCCGAGCCGACCAGTCCTTGTTTTAGCCCCTTAATGCCGAGCGCCAGACAGGGTAACAACAAGTACCATCTTTTAACGTCTTTTGGTATGACGCAGCCGGGGATTGAACTCCGGACCTTCCGCTCTATGGGTGGACGCTCTACCACTAGACCACGGAGACAGTCCTTTCACCTAGGATCTCAATGGGGTCAAATTATAATCATGTATTTTATAGATGTGAATGACATCAAACAATGGTTTTATTTCACATTATCTTTATTCAGAAAACTTTATAAGACATATTCGGGAAATGACAGTCTGAATATATTATAACGGTTCACTATGGTGAACACATAATAAGGTCCCAGCAGTGTCTATCATGGCTGTAATTTCAAAACATGTTCAATTTCACTGTGAAAGGTAAAAGACAAGGGTAAAATGTTCCAGAAAATCAATGCAAACACTAAATGGCCTAAATTTCCATCATTCAAGAAATCTTAAAAGAGAATATGAAAAAATTACATTAAAAACTGAGTGACAAAGCATAAATTCAAATCATAAAACTTGCATAAAAGCTGTTATAAAAAAAGAAATACCCCAGGTTTCCACACAATATGAATGATCCAGCCACACTGATGATCTCAAGTTTCATGGGGTATTCTGTGTCATCCATCAGTCAGATTTCTTTCCACATCACAAAATGTCGGATTCCAGCACGAAAACAAAACTTGAGTTGGAAAGGCCCTTATTTACAGTGGTTATTTGTTTAAATATAAGGGACGGGGTGAGGAGGACAGTTGCTGCACCTCCTGCTTCATCTCTTCATCATCACATGACCATCACCACAAGTCACACAATCTGTATGAATGGTTTGGGTTGGATTTGTCCAAGTCTGGAATCGGACATCACGGCCAGACAATATTGTTTCATTTTTTTTACCAGTTTTCTAAGTAAGTATATTCCAAGAAAAGGATGCAAGAAAACATTGTCAGAGTTGATATGATACGGATTTCCTTGCCAAAATTTAAACTTAACTTCACAAAAGATACAACAATACATAAACAAACATTTCAATAAACAGCATGTCTACTTAATTTGTGAAATTTAAATTTCAGGGTTGACTTATAAAAAAACAACCAAAAATAAACTTCTCTGGCCTCAGCAGTAATTGAAGGTACGTTTTAAAATCAGTCTTTGTGAACAGATTGCTTCAGGTAGAGTCATGTGGGAGGTAGTTTTCCATTCTTATCGACACGATATCGGATGTTCGGAGTACAGCAGCTGGCATCAGGCCTAGGGGCGTGTACAGGTCAGACACTTGCATACTTTCAAACTCGATGTCTGATGGTCCTAAGGTGGCAGAAACTTGAGATTTTTGCACCATCGTTACTTCTGCCTTCTTCCCCGAGATGGCGCCAAGCATACGCAGGAATCGTTCCCGAAGGAATGTACGCTGTTCTTGCTTGACCTGGTCACTGTCCATTTTTATTCTGTTAAAAACAACAACACGAATATACAAAGATTAAAGATAAACAACCCAAATTATGACTTCATAACAGATCAGGTTATGATCTTGATTTCCCAATGTGAATTCAGATGCAGAATAGGTCCCCACTGCAGTTCCCTATGATTGCCATGGCACTGACTTCCTATGAATGAGTGAGCGATTGAGTTAGGCTTAATGCAAATTTAAAAAGTATTGCAGTTGTATAACTGCATGATACCTTGATGAGGAGGAAAGACCAAAATGACAGATGTCTTAATCTTTTACTACCTGGTAATTGGGGAAACCCACAGAGACCTGTATCTTTCAATGATCAGAGTGAGTGAGTGAGTGAGTGAGTATGGTTTTACGCTTTTAGCAATATTCCAGCAATATCACGGCGGGGGACACCAGAAATGGGCTTCACACATTATACCCAGGTGGGGAATCAAACCCGGGTCTTCGGCGGGACGAGCGAACGCTTTAACCACTAGGCTACCCGACCGCCCCTTCAATGATCAGAGAAACCTGTAGAAACAATTTGGGATTTGAAATCACCATTATAATCACTGGTACACCTAATGCATGGAACTCTGCACAGCAAATAGCGGTTCCAAGACAGCTTGGCCATCCTTTACCTAAATTGACTAATGTGATTCAGGTGGTTACATAGCTCTCTCACACAGTGTTATTTGGGCTAGTGTGGTTAACAATATCCTTGATTTGGATCACAAGAAATGCTGACCACCCCAAACCATTCACTGTTTATATCTTCACAGGTGTAGTTTAGTGCTGAAAATACTACAGTGCATATTACCAGGCTTTGGTATCCTTGCCACACATAACCAGGCAAAACCAAGGCATGGTTGAGTGTGGGGATTGAGTGGCCTCGACAAGTACACAGTCTAATAATTTTGGTCTTAAAGGGAAACAACACTCCAAGTTTGAAAGTATTAAAATATGGATGGGCTTTATCTTCACAGATCCAAAATTTGCATATTATATACTATAATTTCAACAGGTTTGGCTTGTGTTCTTGCTGTGCTGCATGACACGTATCGGAGCAACGAAGAATGAGAAACCGTATAGCATCATGATCATAACAAAGGTATACAATAAAGAGCTGCACAGCCAAACAGACAGGTGTTTTGTTGCTGATTAATGCATGTACTTGAAAGGGTGAAGCTATCGGTCAACATCAAATTATATACTACAAAAACTACATAGTATCCTTCAAAGAATTCAGGTAAAGAACAGGTGATAAAAAACTTGATCATAAAACTGTTAAATCCAGATAAATAATCATTAATATTGCAGTTCTACAACAAATTATACCAGTAATAAAGTTATTAATTGAGCATCAAGTGAATGACGACAAATACACAGGTGGAGGATTAGGTAAAACTTCCACCTGTACCCCCCCCCCCCCCCCCCCCCCCCCCCCCCCCTTTAAAAACATATAAAATTAAAAAGATTGGGCGCCAATGCATATGACATTGGGCGACAGGTACGAGCGTAAGTCTTTCCATTTTCTGTATACCAAACTACATTATACATAAGGGTAGAGTAAGCATCATAGACTCAAATGCGTGGATTCACGGGGATTTCCCCTCGCTGTCAACAAGGATTTCCAGTTGGCCCCACGCCGCTCAGGAACCCAGTTTGTTGGGTCGCTTCTGGCTTCTGACGCTTTTGGTGACGACGCGGGCTAATTAAAATGGCTCCGGCTGGTGTTGTTTCCCTTTAAGTTACCGGTATGCAGTAATAGAGACAAACCTTAGACTGGTCACTATGTTAAACTTTGATGCCACTTTAGATAGTATGCGCGTGTAACTTCTTATAACTATGGGCGGAAATAAAACGTAACGTGCTTGCGCTGCGGAGATCGTTCAGCATGCGTCTAAACGTAAACAATTCAGAGTTACCCCCCTTAGAGCACCTGTCTTTCCGGTGTATAGTCTGTTTTAGAGAAGATCCCCAAAGTTGTGTAATGCTTCTACATTTCAAAAACATATGCCCGAAAGACTTTATAAGTAAATATATAATTGTACGTTAAAATGACTTGAAATAGGTGAAACAATAAGACGAATTCAATATAAAAATTGGTAATTTTAGTGTATACTGTACTATTTAGATATGTTCTCTATGATAATATGTTTATTATAAATATGAAGTCTTAGATAGGCATTTAGAAGATGGAAGAATATGAACAAATAACATTTTGTTACAGATCAACTTCTTTTATTTTTTATACTACGTTTCGGATTTACTTCATGCGCCTTCATCAGGTGAATGCCTAGTAAGTAATTGGAGATTTTACGTGCGCTTTCCGACATGATACGTAATCCGTACACGGGCCAAGTAAGTGCATATAACAGTATAATGACGAATTATAGTGAGATTAACAGAAGATGATAAGTACAATGAAGGTGTAATGGTGACACGGATTTGGCTATTGTGACCCAAGCAATAACGTAATCACGATAACCAGTGTGATAGATGAATAGATTACACCCTGGGTAGGTAGATACACTCAATATGTACATTTTGCAGATGTGACGTAATGATTTCAGAAGACACCGAAAAGGTATCATGAAGACGCCTAAGGTTTAGTTCAGGCATTGTTACCAGGCGTTCACAATACAAACATCCTCATCTGAAAAGTCAAATCAAGAGTAGAGCATAAGATGCCCATGTGCTAGCATAGCGAACTCGTTCCAAGGGGTATAAAAGTATAGGCGGGAGAACTACAAAAAATGTCCAAGGGTTAAAATAGGAGATGCCAGCAAGTTTCAGTATGTCTGTTAAACTATAATAAATAATTGAATTTATTATTGATAACCTTTTCTTGATGTTTAATGCGAATACACCTGTCATAATATTCATCTGATTACCTCACACACATCTGTATCAGAAACGCAGGTGAGGTAAATCGACGCTCTTGTTTCGTGTACAATACTACATACGAGGGGCTTTCAATAAGTTTTGCAACTTCAATATAAGACCAAGTCGCAGAATATCTTTTGCACTTTTATTTTTCAATATAACCTCCATTCACCTCAATACATTTAATCCATTTGTCCTTCAAGCTTTTAATACCACTTTTATAGAAATCCGCAGATTGGCCCTCTACCCACGCCCCTATGGCAGCCTTTATGTCCTCGTCATCCTGGAAGTATCTTCCACGTAGGGCAGATTTCATTTGCCCTAACTGGAATAGTCACTGGGGGCTAAGTCTGGGCTGTAGGGTGGGTGCTTTAACTGTTCGACCCCAGACTTAGTCCCCAGTGACTATTTCCTGTCCCGGCAAATTAAATCTGCCCTACGACTTTACATGAACATGTATATCTTGGTAGTGACTGATTTCAAAGATTTCCCTTTTCAAATTTTAAATCATGCAAAGGTGAGGAGAGGTAAAAAAGATTATTCACTTACATAGCGAAGTGTGTGTGTGTGTGTGTGTGCGTGCGTGCGTGCGTGCGTGCGTGCGTGCGTGCGTGCGTGACAGCTTGTACTAGTTGGGACTAGAGTAGATTTTTATAGTGCTAGCCCGCTAAGATACCACGCCGCAGTTCTGACGTGACCCGTAATGGGATGTCCTCAGATCTTTGTTTAGCGATAGCGAAAACTAAGATCTGATTTCAATGAGATTGCTGCGGTTCAAGGACTGTCAATTCCATTTTCGAAAGAAAATTACCTGGTACTGATTCGATGTGTTCATTTACAGCTTAATAATGGTATGATTTCACGGGGTTGCAATAGTATTTAGACATTATAAGTTGGGGCTATCGGATTCATTCATGATAAAAAACATGGCATTTTCACATTTGGACGTTCAGTTATGTTTTGGGACGTTCTGACTTGTTCCATGTGGAAAATGTGAAAGAAAGAAATTATGCGATCTTCTCAGATAGATATTGTTAGAGGACTCAAACTTGTAGGGTAAGAATTCTCTGTATATACGTTATACCACATATACAGACCCTTATTCTAACAGTGTAATTCACGACTTACTGGGAACGCATTCGTACAACCTTCGTATCTTACACTTATCTTGTTCTTGTATTGTTTATCACCACTTATATATGCCACCATGATAGACCTCGTCTGCAAAGGCAGTTTCATTTAACTGTTAATAATACGTATCTAATGATAGGTGAAGGGGTAACTTTCTCCGTTCTGTGCCTTATAATGATTTCGCCGGGCAATGTTGGGGATGTATTGACGAATGACGCGGTGCCGTTTCAGTCTGATCTTACATTGAGTCTGCATATGTAATGTAGAAACATTTCGTACGCGATCCAGACTACCAGTTGTCGGACTTTCATTTTGTGGAAGCATCGGTGACTGAGTGGATTAGATCGCTGACTTCGTGTCCTAGCGATTAGGTGCCTCACTATGGCAGTGTGGGTTCGAATCCCGGATGGGACTAAACCCCCCAAAAGTAATAGAATCTGTACTTTACTCTTTATGAGTGAGTGAGTGAGTGAGTATGGTTTTACGCCGCTTTTAGCAATATTCCAGCAATATCACGGCGGGGGACACCAGAAATGGGCTTCACATATTGTACCCATGTCGGGAATCGAACCCGGGTCTTCGGCGTGACGAGCGAACGCTTTAACCACTGGGCTACCCGACCGCCCCTACTCTTTATGAATGCGTTATCCCAAACATAACATCTGTTATAGACACATTTCGGGTAATCATACGATCTTTTCAGCGAGTATAACACAAAACCACATTTGACAATTCTTATTACATAAAGAAGGGACCATCACTCTAAAGATAAAGATAAAAAAAACCATTTCATGTCTGTCGCGTGCTGAAACCAGAGACCATTAAAATAGACTTATGGTGTCTGCTGAAACAAACTATATGAGAAACCAAAACGAGGCTGTTGTCCAAAACAACATGGCGGACGCCAGGAAAACTTGAGGAACTGTCAGCTTCATGTGATTAAAGCTGCATTTAGGACGTGGCTACCTATATCATAAGCGTGGGTGACTTAGAATCAACATGGCACAGGCAAACGAGATAGAAGACATGAATGTTGGAGAAGGAGAGGATCCTGGTTTGACAGATGACGCCGAAATGGCTCTCACTGGCATCAACATGCTGCTAAACAACGGTTTCGACGAAGCTTATGCTCTCTTTGAGAAATACAAGTAAGGAGAACTTATTCGTTTCACGAAATCCAATGCTTAATTTCCAATGCACTCTTCATTTCTTTTGTTCCAATGACAGAAATGTTGTCAACGCATACCTAGGTACACTTGGAAATTGATGAGTCGCAATCATGACTTTGAATCACATGCTTCTACTCTAAGCCACGCCCCCTTTGTCGTTTTGCATAATCTGTATATACATGGATTGACAACAAGCAGCTGATAAAACATTGACTTGTCGAGAGTAGATAGTAAATGGTAGATGTTGAATAATAAACATAATAGGTGAGGATGATCTTGTGATATATATTGAAATGTCGTAATGTAGAACAGGTGTAATAAGCCAGTGTGAGACGGTAATTGTTCAGTCCTGGCTTATGACCTTTAGATGATATTATATCATCATTTTGTTAAACAGGAAAGAAGTTTTTAATATGAAGTTTACACGATATACAGCTTTTCATGTGGAAGAGAGCCCAGTCACGTTCCCGTGATACTGAAGTTCATAAGTTCATGAACGACATAATTTGACATTCGTACATTTTTCATGAGATTGTATTCTTGAAATGATGTAAACACTGATGGATTACTTCCACATTCAAGGGGAATCCCCTGGGAAATCCCTTTTATGAATACATACAAAAGCGTTTATTTCTGATCATTTAGACTCTTACATCTTGAACTCAGCATAGGCCTACATTGAGAAACGTCAGAGAGTTTGACTGCATGCTCGTTCACAAATATCCTCGCTATGACCCATCCCAGTGAACAAAACGTAGAAATGCACATAAACTATAGTAGTATCAACTTGGTCCATGTCTAGTCTGACAGTTATTGTGACTGACTTACTGAGGTAGTTCTTAAAAGACCTTTCTTACCCAATGATGATATTATTTGAATACATTTCTTGTAAACAAACTACAACAGATGTTCCTGTAAAGCAAGTTGAGCATACATACTCTCACATCATCTCTCTTTTTGGAGAACTATTTTATCCTGCGATACAGCTGGTTGTTGTATGGTTGTCAGTGTAAACAAGTCACACGTATAGATCTAGCGCTACATCCCCCAAAGTATAAAATAGTGGTATAAAAAAAATAAGAATTGACTTTCGCATTTTGTGAGTTCATGGGTGTATGAACTTTCATGAAGTGATATTCATACAGGTTGACCCTGACTCTGTGAAGGTTCATACTCCATTGAACTCACACAAAGTGAAAGTCTTAAATGGTTATACTTCAACTGCAGTTTAATAAATAGATAAATGGAACTATTGAAATGCCTTTACAATTCAGCAACACAACTTCTCATGAAGATGATGTCAAGCTCAATGGTCAGTACGACACACTGACCAACTGATCTTTGTCCACACTGTTATCTAGGGTTGGTGTATTGACGCGTAAATTGTATTGTAATATATCGCAATACAGGGGGGTGGGGGGCACAGGTGGCCCAGTCGTCTAAGGCGCTGCAATTCACTGTGCAGAGCTGCGTCCCTTGGGCACGGCAGAAACCTATGATTGTTGGTTCGAATCCTGGTTCACTCCGGTTTGTCAGTTTTCAGCACCATACCCGTGCTCTTGGGTTTCGCCGAAGTGGTAAACATCTCAGACTTGCATCTCCTTGGGATTAACACTCACATTAAGCTGACATTCGGCGTTAAACACAGCTCACTCACTCATTTTTCTAGGAATCATATTTTAGCCTCGCATACTTCAATAAAGATTCCTTTTTTATAATTTTGTTTTCACACAATCCGATCGCGATTTACTTTCAACTGTCACCAGGGTGGACGGTTTCTCTGTATGTTCATTTGGGGCCATCAGCTCGGAATCACATCCTGCATCACTATAATTAATTTTAACATAACTGTCGTCATTGTTTTCTCTCACAACTTTCATAACAGGGGTCCGGAAACCGTCATATGTGCCGGACATGTCCGATTGGGAATCTCAAATGTCCGTTTTAAAATATTGCTTACCGGACATTTTAAAAAGTATTGTCCGGACATTCTGAAATTCATAACGTCATCATTGTTTTCTCTCACAACTTTTGGTGGAACGATCATGTTTTTGCTGTGTGAAGAGGGAAAAGTACTTTGACGTGATGTTGTCAAGTAAAGCAGAATGGTCAACACATGCCAGAATTCATAAACGACGGAGCAAATGTAAATCAAGTTAATTAATAGTGAAGTATTTTATAGGGTCGGTCTGGTAATCGGAACCACAAGATTTAATTTGTTTGGCCCAATTGGGCAACAAAGTTTCTTCAGCTTCTGAATGACCTGTTGTTGACAGAATTGCTTAATAGACTGGATCATACTTAGATTGTTAAGATAATTAGTTTTAATGATGTGTTTCTCCATGAATTGTACAATTGAAAGAAACATCTTAATACTGATGCTTGTTCAGCAAATCTATTTTACCCTAAATCATCAGACTTATTTAGCCTAAAATCTGCACAGAAATTCATTCACAAATGATGTTTCTCTTCGAAAAATTGATTGACCAAATGATGAAAACATGGAAGTGACCATGCTGCGTATTACTTACATACCGGTAAGTAAATAAAAATAGAATCTGCATGTACAATAAGTGTCAATCACAATACAGATACCTGTACTGCAATTTATTGCAATACAAATTGTTTGTCAATATTTGCAAATATAATAATGTCATGAGTTTGGACAGTTAATTTGTAATTTTGGCAACTAATGCAATTTACATCGATCATCATTGTTTTTGATAATTGTTGGAGCCATTGAATATTTACTCAAGTTATCATTCACACTGGGTGTAGCTAGTCTTCCTGGGGTATTATATATTTAACATTATGAATTGTTACTCTCTTGGGTTCAGTCTATTGGGTATATTTCGCCAGTGAGTATACATTTGAAAGAAATACTTCTGCTTGATCAGCAGCCAGATGACTAAGACTACTGTGTTGCATTTGTTGATGTACCTATGAAGATCCGGGGTAGAATAGGTCTTCAGCAACCCATGGTTGCTGTAAAAGGTGACTATGCTTGTCTTAAGAGACGACTAACAGAATCAGGTGGTCAGGCTCGGTGACTTGGTTGATGCATGTCGTCTTATCCCAATTGTGTAGATCGATGCTCATGATGTCAATCACTAGAGTGTCTGGTTCAGACTCGATCGTTTACAGACTGATGTCATATGGCTGGAACATTGCTGAGTGTGGCGTTAAACAACAAACAAAGCCTCTGTTGATGTTCTGCTATGTTCCCAAGGGTGTCACATCTCACATGCATGAGATCACAACAGTGATGTGTTTGTGGGAGTTGCAGCAGGCAAGACGAAGCCCTTTGTGCATTGTTCACAGCAGTAGCACTCATGTTGAAAAGAAATACAAGTACGCAATTTGAAAAACTGGGTTATACATTTTCCCTTTTAATACATAGTATATTCACGCAAGCTAAAAATTGATTAGGCAATGGTAATTTATTTTTGTATTCTACCCCAAAATACAGCATTTATTTGGAGCTCTGCATCATTAGATTTAATTTTTGCAGTTAAACAAGTTGTGTTTCATGATTGAATCCTACTGTCTGGGACAACCAGTTTACGCGACCCTCGTCCCACTTTAATGGGTTAATGGGTGTTGCAACCTTAGAAATTCGTCATTTTCAAGACCAGTCTAGAGGACTATTGTAAACCTGATTTCACTAAGCCACAATGTGTGGGGCTTGTCCATCTTGAAGGAGACAGACATGTTTCCTCAGTTTACAGTTTCTGTTTTATTCGGGGCAGTCGGGTAGCCTTGTGGTTAAAGCGTTCGCTCGTCACGCCGAAGACCCGGGTTTGAATCCCGACATGGGTACAATGCGTGAAGCCCATTTTCTGGTGTCCCCAGCCGTGATATTGCTGGAATATTGCTAAAAGCGGCATAAAACCAAACTCACTCACACTCACTCTGTTTTATTCATTTCTAATGAGCAGCATTCTTGAAGCATTGAGAACAGGTTCAGAACTATAGCCCTCAAATACTAGTTGTCAGTGAGGACTACCATCATTGGATTTTAACTTGTCCCCAGCACAATTTAGACTCTGGCTAGCAGACTATTGGAATTGCGAAGACTGTATTGTGACACTGTCTCCTTTCCCAGATGACATTACAAGACATTGAACTTTTTTATGAAAAATCGTATGGAGAAGTCATAGTGATTACTATAAGCATTGAAGCTTAAGATTTCAAGTAGTTTTCTTCTCCCTGGCCACATCATACATATAGACCTCACATATCTAGGGAAAATAGCAACAAGACTATGTTAACTGACTTCTACTTCATGTTTTTATATATTTATAATCTATAACTGTCAGAAAATTCATAAGTCCTGCCATAAAAATACTACCAATTTACAGCAAATGTATTATATTTGGAACTATCAGAACTTTCATTTTGTGAATTGCACCAAGATCATCTGACCTGCGGCCTCATTGAGCTTAGGTGCTCTAGTCATTGTTTGTATGAATAATCAAGTGGTGGTTGTAGATGTCAGTTCCCAGCTGTCAGTGAGGGACACCACTGTCACTGTTAGCACTTAGTATTTTAGCTCAGTGTTCTTAAAGGCTTAAGACAATCTTTTGGGACTTAACATTTTTACAGTTATTTTATTACATCGGATGGTGGGAGGAGTGTGTGCTTGGTGCAAGGGGTGACTAACTGTATCAGGTGGTCACGTACTGTTTCTGTGTCATTGTACCCTGACAGATAATCAGTAATTGTTCATTATATCAGGGGGCACAGGTGGCCCAGTCATCTAAGGCTCTGCAAGTTGCTGTGTAGTGTTGTATCCATTGGTCCTGCCAGAAACCTATGATGGTGGGTTAAAATCTCAGTTCACCCGACAACTTGGTTGATGCATGCCATCAATCCCAATTGCGTGGATCGATGCTCATCATGTCAGCCACTGGATTGTCTGGTCCCGACTCGATTATTTACAGGCCGCCGTCATATAGCTGGAATATTGCTGAGTGCAG